ATCAATTCGATAAATATGTGCTATCATCCCTTTCAAGTTGATCCGGTATAGGTACACCGAAATTTAATGCAGATTATTGTACGTACTTTCCGAAAATGAAGGTTTAGCCAACCTCTTCACAAGTCATTTTAATCCCTTAGATTCGGAAAGTAGCATATACATATAATTATCTCACTTGAAGAAGCTACTGTGTTGGCGAAACATATGTTGAGAAATTTGTGGAAATCCTATCGTTTGTGACGTTTTCTGCATTTTCCATGGATTTCCATCAAGTAGTCAATTCATTTTTTTTATTATGAAACAACTATGAATGAAAAAAACACCACAAAATATGGATCTTACCATTACATAGCTTGGTTTGATGAACCTTCAACAAAAAAAATTCTCACTGCAATTGAACATTTATTCAAACAAAATTGATCACGTTTTGCATGTGTCCACTGGGTACGGCTTACGTGAATTTGAGTATTGTAAGCATGCATGAAGTTGAAATTCTGTCGAATGTCAATGAGACCAATATTATAGGTATAGATACTTTAGGTACTGCGGAGTTGTATTCATCAGTTTTTTATCAATGAAAGGATCAGCTGATGGATTTTTTCACCTCAGGTTTGTAAATCATAATTTCCTTCAGAATGCCTACATTATAGCTTGCATCAATATAGTCTTCAATTTGCCCATAAAGTTTCTGGTGTTTTTCTAGGTTTTTCGTTCTTGGACTCTGATTTCAAAATACAGCAATGGCATAAAATCTTTCTCAACATTCTCCATTCTGCTGGAGATGTTTTGTGTCTTTTTTCTGGATATCTTGAAAATCAAATCAACTCGTCATATTCCAGATACATAATTAGATTCCTTCCATGATTATCAATATTTCTCGTTGATGGAAACATTCTTCAATCTACTTCCCCCCCCCCCCACAGTCTAGTCGAAAGATTTCCTGCTGCCTTTTCCAATGCGGCATACCGAAACTTCACACTTTAATTTCTTCGACAGTTGCCTGCAACTTTTATTTCCTTAAAATCCGAAATCGCGATCAATGAAACACGAACTAGTCCCGAAGTTTTATTTAGTTCGGAAGTTGTCTCATTCCATTTCCACAAATCATGTTGAAAATAACTTTTTAATCAGTTGGCCGTTCATTGTTTCAGACTTTTCACACCCCCAGTTTCGGTGACGAGGAGTTCGATATACCCGCTATCAATCCACAACAGCAGAATCAGCAACAACAAGCCCATGCTGACCAGCAGCACTATCAGCCACCCATGCAGGTGAGAAAAATAGAAATCGTAATTTTTTTCAAATTTCAGGATAGGGTTCATCATAGGATAGGTCACAGGTCCATTTTGTACGTCTTCTTACTGTCTTTTTTCATTCCTTCTTCCCCACGCGTTGCAAAATAGAAAAATATTTACTCAGTTACTTTTTTTTTACTTCATGAGATTCGCTTCAACTACAATGAAATCATCAATTCTACGCTGACCAGCAGCACTATCAGCCACCCATGCAGGTGAGAACAAAGAGAAAAAAGAAATCTTAATTTTTTTCAAATTTCAGGCTAGGGATTGGTCCCAGGTCCATTTAATACGTCGTCTTACTGTCTTTTTCATTCCTTCTTCCCCACACGGTGCGAAAATAAAATAGTTATTTATTATACAAGGGAAAAAAGTAGTAGATTTTAGCTCCAGGTTGTGTTGTCTCCCGACGCGTAGCGGAGGGAGACAAAAAACCGTGAGCTAAAATCTAATATTTTTCCCGTGTATAATACACTATTTTTTTCTGTGACAGAAGGAAGGACGAATCAATATTGAGAAGATATTACATTATTTCGAAATCTGAAAATTAGCGACGTGAAATTTCAAGTTTTTAACAGTAGGGACACCTGCGTTTCATAGACATCTTTATCATTCTTTTGAAGTGATCAAATATCTGATGTCACTTCTGTCAGTTCAATTCTGTGATTTGATTTAAAAAAATTGCGAATTCAATAGTTGTTTAGTAATATACGAAACCGCGAAGTCGAATGGAAGATAAAAGGACTTGCAGTTCTTTCTCGGAGACGGTATTATTGACTCATTTTTCGGAACTATAGCACAACAAAAGCCATCAACAGAGTATATATATGTGATATATATCCGGGAAAGAAGTACTCACTTTTTTCCCACGGGAAAAAAGTAATTTATGAAAAGTGACATTTTATAACCTGCCAACAGAGATGAAATGCCAAACTTTTTTCCCGTCACAGAAAAAAATAATAATCAGTAACTTTTTTTTTCACTTAATGAGATTCGCTTCAACTACAATAAAATCAACAACAACAATTCTACGCTAAATAACGGCACTATCAGCCCCACCCATGCAGGTGAGAACAAAAAGAAAGAAGAAATCGTTAATTTTTTTACTTCATGAGATTCTCTTCAACTACAATAAAATCAGCAACAATTATTCTACGCTGACCAGCAGCACTATCAGCCACCCATGCAGGTGAGAAAAATAGAAATCGTAATTTTTTTCAAATTTCAGGCTAGGGCTCGGGCTAGGGTTTATCATAGGATAGGTCACAGGCCATTTTATACGTCTTCTTATTATCTTTCTTCATTCCTCCTTCCCCACGCGTTGCAAAATTTAAAAATACTTATTCAGTTTTTTTTTTCACTTCATGAGATTCGCTCGAGGATTCGCTGCAACTACAATAAAATCAGCAAGAACAATTCTACGCTGACCAGCAGCACTATCAGCCCCACCCATGCAGAAGAGAACAACAAGAAAAAAGAAATCATTTTTTAAATCCCAGGCTAGGCATAGGTCAGAGGTCAATTTTATACGTTTTCTCAATGTATTTTTTCCATTACGTCTTCCCCACACGTTGCAAAAATAAAAAAACACTTACTCAGTTACTTTTTTTCACTTCATGAGATTCGCTGCAACTACAATAAAATCAGCAAGAACAATTCTACGCTGACCAGCAGCACTATCAGCCCCACCCATGCAGAAGAGAACAGCATGAAAAAAGAAATCATTTTTTAAATCCCAGGCTAGGCATAGGTCAGAGGTCAATTTTATACGTTTTCTCAATGTATTTTTTCCATTACGTCTTCCCCACACGTTGCAAAAATAAAAAAACACTTACTCAGTTACTTTTTTTCACTTCATGAGATTCGCTGCAACTACAATAAAATCAGCAAGAACAATTCTACGATGACCGGCAGTACAATCAGCTACCCATGCAAGTGAGAACAAGAAGAGGAAGGAAATCGGTATTTTTTCAAATTTCAGGCTAGGGATAGTTCGCAGGTCAATTTTATACGTCTCCTTAATGTAATTTTTTTCATTCCGTCTTCCTCACACGTTGCAAAAATAAAAAATACTCAGTTACTTTCTTTTCGCTTCATGATATTCCCTTCAACTACAATAAAATCAGCAAAAACAATGCTACGCTGACCAGCAGCACTGTCAGCCCCACCCATGTAGGTGAGAACAGAAAGAAAAAAAAAATCGTTGATTTTTTTCAAATTTCAGACTAGGGATCATCATAGAGGTCACAGGTCAATTTTATACGTCTCCTTGATGACTTTTTTCATTCCTTTCTCCTCACACGTTGCAAAATCATAAAATACTCACTCAGTTTCTTTTTTTTACTTCATGAGATTCGCTTCAACAACAATGAAATCAGCAACAACAATTTCACGCTGGCCAGCAGCACTATCAGCCCCACCCTTGCAGGTGGGAACAAAAAGAAAAAAGAAATCGTTAATTTTTTCTCAATTTCATGCTAGGGACAGGTCACAGGTCAATTTTATACGTCTTCTTAATGTTTTTTTCATTCCTTCTTCCCTACACGTTGCGAAATGAAAAAATACTCACTCAGTTACTTTTTTTCACTTCATAAGATTCGCGCTGACCAGCAGCACTATCAGCAACCCATGCAGGTGATGAAAAAATTAATCATTCATTTTTTCCATTTTTTAGGATAAGGATTATCGTATGAAAGGTCACAGGTCATTTTATATACACCAGTGGTCCTTTATGTATTTTTCCATTATTTCTTCCCACACGTTACTAAATAAAAAAATATCTACTCAGTTACTTTTTTTTCACTTCATCAGATTCGCGTGAACTACACTAAAATCAGCAACAACAATTCCACGCTGACCAGTAACACTATCAGCCACCCATGCAGGTGATTAAAAAAATGATTCGTTGAGTTTTTTCAAATCTCAGGGTAGAGATTATCGTTGGGTAGGTCACAGGTCAAATTTATATACGCCAGTGGTCCTTTATGTATTTTTTCATTCTTCATTCCCACACGTTGCAAAATTTAAAAATACTTACACAGGTACTTCTTTTTTTTAACTTCATGAGATTCGCTTCAACTACAATAAAATAAGCAACAACAATCCTACGCTTACGAGCAACACTATCAGTTATTTTATCGGAAACGGTGAGTTCAACAAAAATATTATATCTTTTTTTTTTTTCAAATCATGATTTTCTACCAGAGCTATTGAACGTTCCAAAATTTGCAGTCAATTTGGATTTATTATGCAGCAAATGAAAATAATGCAGCCAGTTCTGTTAATTTGGATTGAGGTGATTTTTCGTATATGGCGAGGTTCGAAAGCATAAGGAACAGAACATGAAGTTAGATTCTGCAATTATGAATTCATTAAAATCGACCTCCTTTTATTTCAACAAAAAAGCACTGCACTGTCCAAATGGATGTTCGTCTCTGAAAAACTGATCATATTGATTATTGATTATTCATATACCGGTCCAAATTTGATGACGTTTGAAGTGAGACACGCTGTATAGATCGTTACCTACACGTAATACCACATATTATCAACGGTTGAGTGGAATCGCCTTCTGATGTAACCTTCAATAATAATAATTGATATCATTTCGAAAAAATTTCTAAGAAAAATCTGAATTAGAAAGCTCTCTTCATTCGTATCCAGGAAAATATGGAATTTTAGCTAGAATCTTATTTTTCTTTCCAGGGGATGCAACAGATGAACCAGCAGATGTCGCAACAGCAGGACGCGTTGGGCATGCACGACCCCACAGGGGGCTACCAGCAGCCCCTCTATCTGTCTGGGCCCCCAGACCATGGTATGGTCAATCCGTCGTACCACAGCCCCCAGTCTAGCTACTCTGCGCAGCAGCAGCAGGCTCACACGGTAAGAGAATGTTTCTAGAAACGAAAAATTTAATTCCATCATTCGAAAGTATTGACCCAATCTACACCTTTTTCAATTGTAATTCAGATTTCTCAAATGAATTTCAGGAAGTGTCAATTGTAATTCAGATTAGCTAATTGAAATTCAGAAAATATCAATTGCAATCCAGATTAATCAAGTGAAATTCAGAAAACATCAGTTGTAAATAAGATTTTTTTCATTGGAATGTAGAAAGGTAGAAAGCATCAATTGAAATTCGGATATCGTCATTTGTAATTCAGAATGCAACAATTGTTATTCAGACTACGTTATTTATAATTCAGATAAGTAACATGATATTCAGAAAATATCAATTGTAATTCGGATTAGACAGGTGGAATTCAGAAAACTTCAATTGTAATTCAGATAAGTCAAATGAAATTCAGAAAGCATCCATTGAAATTCAGATATCATGAATTATTGTCATTGAGAATGCGTCAATTGTAATTCAGACTGATGGATTCTTGAAGGTATTCATGTAGAACCAACGACTTCAGAATTATGAAATATTTTCATCGATGATCAATTGAAATCAATTTTTATAGGTGAAATGGGAAAGTTATAATAGACACCGTAATTTCGGAAAAAAATATTGCTTTTTAATTTATCACCTACATTCATCACGCTTGGCTCGACAAGCAAAGGTAACACTGTTCCATATTTCTGAATTACAAATGAAGCTTTCTGAATTTCAATGGACTATTTCTGAATATCAATTGGCCAATCTGAATTGAAATTGATATTTTCTGAATTTCAATTGACTAATCTGAATTTCAACTGACGCTTTCTAAATTTCAATTAACTAATCTGAATTACAAATGATGTAGTCAGAATTACAATTGACCCGTTCTGAATTACAAATGATACATTCTGAACCACAAATAACACTTTCTGAATTTCAATTGCCGCTTTATGAATTTCAATTGACTAATCTGAATTACAATTGACTCCTTCTGAATTTCAATTGACTAATCTGAATGACATTTGATATTCTCTGAATTTCAATTGATTATTCTGAATTACAAATGGTATTGTCCGAATTACACTTGACGTTTTCCAAATTACAATTGGAAAAGATGTAGATCACTATCACAAGGTCTTCCTTCCTTCCTTCCTTCCTCCCTCCCTCCCTCCCTCCCTCCCTCCCTCCCTCCCTCCCTCCCTCCCTCCCTCCCTCCCTCCCTCCCTCCCTCCCTCCCTCCCTCCCTCCCTCCCTCCCTCCCTCCCTTCCTCCCTATGGCTGCATACCGTTTCCAAGATTGGCCTATGAAGAATTGTGTTACTTATGATATAATAGTCTTTATAACTTTTTTTCAACTTATTACTGAAAACTTGTTACTCAAAACTGCTGCATAAATCTGCCTTTAGGCTGCTTTGAATCCTATCACTAGAGGCGCCAATATTCTTCTGACAATTAAACCTCAAAGATTCGAATCTCAATCGAATGCAAATCAATTCCTGGTGTTGCAGCAGCAACAGCAGCAACAACAGCAGCACAACAGCCAGCTGCTGATGATCCAGCAGCAGCAGCAACAACAGCAGCATCAGCAGATGATGATGAACCATGGGCAGCCGCCGCCCATGGGGTACGGCGCGTCGCCGCAGCACCCACAGGGTCGGGGGAACAGCCCGCCCGCGCCTGGGCAGGAGCCCACGACCAGCGAGGATAGCGACGATAGCACTCCGCATCCAGCAATGGTGAGTAGGGATAGTAGGGCCAACAGGTGTACTATGATTTACTCACAAGAAAATGTGAAATAACTCACAATAACTCACAACCATCAAAATATCAACATCAAGGCAGATTTTTCATAACTGAATGATACAAAATAAAGGAAAATTTGATAACAAACTTATAACGTCTGCCTTTTTCTGCCACAAATACTATCAACTGTCAAAAAATAGGACAGGGTTTTGACAGATGACAGTGACAGATCGCCAGCTCCTTGACTCCATGAGCTTGAGACCGAAAATACAAAATAACATTAATATCAATAACCTCTTATAGTAATATAGAAACAAATAACAGAAAAAAAAAAAAAGTTTATTCATTCAATGTATCTCAAAATAATAAGAAAAAAATCATGTTTACTTCCTCAAATCATGGACAAGAACCTAATGATATCCAAATGATTCCAACATAAAAAAAAACATTTGATATAAACATTTGAAATTGAATAAAAACTGAGATACACATCTCAATAAAAACAAACTAGGACATAATGATATATATATGATATATATATGAAAAATTAACAGAACAGGTCACATTATTATCACATTGTTCTAATGACTTACAAACTAGATAATGGTATCAATAACGAATAACCATCCACTAGTCCTTATTCCAAATTTTGGCATTCAGCATTAGTGGTGCCCGCGAGAGTCTCGTTTTTGAGAGTCTCGCATGGTCTCGTCTCGTTTTCGAGACAAGACTCGAGACGAGACTCGGACAAGACGAGACGAGACTTTTATTAGTCTCGTCTCGAGTCTCGTGCAAGACTTCTCGAGTCTCGTGCGAGAGTCTCGCAGGTAAATATTTCTGCGTGCCGACTGCAAACTTGAGAATTTCATTCATAATACACCATATTTAGAAATAATTCAGACTATTCAGCACAGATAGACAAAACATTTCATTCATAAATACTTCAAAAACACAATCCATGATCTCTTATGGCGGCGGGAAATAAAGGCAATTCTGCAATAACGACAGATCGCAAATTGAATGACTACCCGAAAATCTATAAATAAGTCATTCTGTGCTAAATAGTCTAAGATAAAGAATAACTTTGTTTTGACGGTAGTATGGATGCAGGAGCTTCAAAAATATCATCCTGTGCCTCGGTGTAATAAAAACACAGATGTATTGCAATGGTGGAAAATTCATGCTTCTGAATTTCCCATTCTAAGTTTGAGTAAGCATACCGGCTACTTCAGTCCTGGCGGAAAGATTCTTCTCACGTGCTGCGTTAACTATAAGAAAACATCAATCTGCACGATGTTGAAAAAGAAATGTTTTTTTTTCTTGTTTAGATGTATGATGTAAGTATGTACCTATTAGGTACTTATTTTTCAATAAATAATGTTATTTTTGTTGTAATTTTGTCTTCCTACTTCTACATTATACCTAGAAAGAAGGTAAAGGTGAATATCCCGTACTAGACTGGAACAAGATTATGCATGACGAAATTGCGATACATTTGCGAGACTCTCGTACGAGACGCGAGACAAGACGAGACTGGAGGCTGCGAGACAAGACTCGAGACAAGACTTCATATATCATCGGCGAGACGAGACGAGACTTTATGAAAGTCTCGTCTCGTTGGTCTCGTGTGAATCACTATTCAGCATCTCTCTGGTGGGTTTGAATTCAAGGCATCCACCATTATTTTTCACCCCTTCTTTTGTCGCCATGAGAGCACTAATAGTATCAGTCTTTAATTTGTTTCGGAGGTCTGTTTTTATATTATTCAGCTCCGAAAACATCCTTTCTACATTTGCATTCGAGAAAGGCAGTATTAAAAGCATGAGAAATGAATGAAAAAATAAATTACTGTCTCTAACACGTGGATTTCCGACTCAAATGTCACTGGCCTCAGATAACTCACAAATAACTCACAATTGGCCATCAACTCACAAAATCACTCACAGTCCCTGAAATAACTCACAAATTTGAGTTATAACTCACAAATTGGCAACCCCTGGGTCTGTGGTAGGGTCTGAGGCGTATACTTGCCATAAATTTTAGAATGGTGGGGGGAGTGCAGCGTTGCTAGTTATCGTTTCTTCGTTTGAATACTAGCGCCTATAGAGACAGACATCAATCAATCAAGCAATCAAAATATACTTGATTGTCCGAAGAAAAAAATTCTCATTGACATTTTTTATATGTTCTGGTTCCCACGAAAAGGGATATCCTGTAATGTTCAGAGAACATCGTGAGAACCAAGGGAAATAAGGTAGGAACTGGTGTTATTAAATTTCTGGAGGTTATATGCCTCGGGGAATACCTCCCTTGGCAATGTGTTCCAGAGCCTCGCTGTTCGTTGGATGAACGAGTCTTTGGAAAGAGATGTTCTGCAGGTCTCCAAAGTGACCAGGGGTGCGAAGCCTCAACTCGACGGGTTAATTTCGCGAGGAATGCCAAGGGAGGTACAATTGTTGATATTTCAGAAGAGCTTCGTCCATGAAAATATCTATAAAATAGAGTCAGATCGCAAACTTTTCTACGGTTTCCAGAGAAGTGAGTGAGTTTGTGAGTGAGGCATCACCCACGAGACGAATTGCCCTTTTTTGGACAGAATCCAACCGTTTCAGGGTATGTTTGGGTGCCGCACTCCAAATATGGGAACAGTATTCCAGGACAGGTCGGATCTGTGCCTTATAGATCATAAGCAGCTGACTGGAAGTGAAATAGCTCCTGGCATACCTAATATCACAGTATCTATAGCAAGAAAGTGATGCTACAATCACACTCATACTAATAAAATAATAATAATAAAAGAAATAAAAAAGACTGTATTAATACCAATTAAAATTGTATGTACAAAATTGATAACATAAACCTGAATGAATAAAGTTATTCCGTCAGGAGCTATCATGTCATAACAAAAAATCAACTTGAGTTATTCCAATCTCTAGCTAGATATTCTTGAACACAATAATATGTTTCTTTGATGATTTATTTATTTATTTATTTATTTATTTATTTATTTATTTATTTATTTATTTATTTATTTATTTATTTATTTATTTATTTATTTATTTATTTATTTATTTATTTATTTATTTATTTATTTATTTATTTATTTATTTATTTATTTATTTATTTATTTATTTATTTATTTATTTATTCATTTATTTATTTATTTATTTATTTATTTATTTATTTATTTATTTATTTATTTATTTATTTATTTATTTATTTATTTATTTATTTATTTATTTATTTATTTATTTATTTATTTATTTATTTATTTATTTATTTATTTATTTATTTATTTATTTATTTATTTATTTATTTATTTATTTATTTATAAACTAACAAGAGTAGAAGCTAGAAGCTTATAAACTCTTTATACTAAAGTTATACATAAATACATAATCATGAAAGTAATTGCTTAATTCTAAAATAATAACTAATGAGGATTGAATCAGCTATATAAACCTGTCGTAGAAATTACATGAGTAGGAAATGTTGGGGAAATATGTGTGGGTTATCATTATAATGTTTGTCCAAAAAATTCTTGAAAGCATTCAGGGATGGCGCTGAGACTACGTTAGTGGGCAAACTGTTCCAGAGCTGGAAGGATCTGTTGAATAGTGTGTATTCGCGTACACATTTTCTGAATCTTTCGCGTTTCAGTTTGTATGGATGACCGCGCAACCTTTCACTCTCATTCACTTCGAACATGCTAGATAAGTCTACTGTGTACCGATTTGTTAGGATTTTATAAATTTCGATCAGATCGCCTCGAGTTCGTCTCCAGTAATGAGTAGGCAGGTTTAAAAGTTGCAGGCGATCGGCATACGATTTTTGATTCAGTCCGTTGATGATTTTAGTGGCACGGCGTTGGACACCCTCGATTAATTTGATATCGCGAATCAACCACGGTGACCAGACAGGAGCAGCAAATTCCAAATGAGGTCTGACATAAGTCTTGTATAAATTACACATGAGTGTAGGAGAAGGACTATGAAAAGTTTTGCTGATAAGGTATAACGCACTATTTGCTCGTTTCACTATTTTGTTGACGTGTTGGGACCAACCCATGTTGCTGGTGATTGCCACTCCGAGATCGATTTGTTCGTCCACTACAGGCAAATCCGAATTGCTGATGGTGTACCTAATTCTGGGATTATTGCTACCCATATGCAGCACCATACACTTCGCTGAGTTCAATGGTAGTTTCCATACAGAGCTCCAGCGACTTATGGCAACCAGATCTTCCTGTATGGTTGTTCTGTTATTGGTGACTTGGTTGAAAATTTTCAGATCGTCTGCGAAGAAAAGTGAGAATGATGATATTTCTCTTTGATCTCCTAAAATGAATTGGAGATACAATATCTCTGAAATCGACTGCAAGATGATTATATGATTTGACAGCATCATAAATCAATGACTTTTTAGTTAAGCTGGTCGATGGAATGGGGAGTCTTAAAGTGTTGTTTTGGCGAGTAGAACTTACAACCGCATCATATGACGATTTATTGTTGTGAACTAAACATACTGTTTCGAGAATGAAGAGGCACGGAAGTGTTAGGATTTTGTGCTCTGAGAACAGAGGTTTGCATGATACTCTAGGTGCCACTTTGTAGAGGTATCGAATAGTTATGTATCTTATGTGTGACTCAAATAGAGCATGGTATTCTAATTTGGACATGGCCATGCCTAGTTTTCTATACACTATCCGCAATGCATAGCACCCAGACGCCAATTTTTTACTCAAAAGTTTCACGTGATTATCAAAGTTGAGTTCATCCAAATGAATACCAAGAAATTTAACTTCGTTCTTCTGTTCAATGAAAATTTTACTTCCTAACTGCATGTCTGGTAGATGACATTTGATCGACAGGAGGCTAGTTTTACCTATATTGAACGACAGCAAATTTTAGTCACACAACCTTTTCACAGCGGAAATATCGTTGACAATTTTCGTTTGAATATTCTTCACATCGTTATCATTCCACAGGATAGTTGTGTCGTCTGCAAAAATTGTGAATTTTCCATCGATCCTGGCGTAGTTGACTGTGCGTTTGAATCTCACGTCGGTGACTCGGGTTCAATGCCTGCGACGATCGGCTTTTTTTCTGTTCCCTCAAGTGATTTTCCGAAAAATATCATTTTTAGGAAGAATGTTGATTTAGGCCAATCAAGGTTAGATGGTTTGAAAAAAGTAGTGTCTTTTTTTATGCAGGAGGGATATTTTCCTTCCTCCCTGAAAAAAGTTGTGCCTTTTTAGGAAGAAGGTTCATTTAGGCCGAGTAAGGTTAGATGGTTTAATAAAGTAGTGTCATTTTTTATGCAGGAGAAATATTTTCCTTCCTCCCTGAAAAAAGTACTGTGGAGGCATATACTGTTGAGAAAAAGTTTTGACAACATTATTTTCTGGAGTAAAAGTTTCTTTTTAGAGAATAGTCTCTTTCATTTCCATGTGAATTCATGAAAATGCTAGTTTCTTATTCTTTTTGGGTTATCCTATTAGTTCAAGATCATTGAAGTACTTTCTTCCTCACGTTAAAGAAAATCAGCACAATCCGGCAACATTGATATGACTGACACGGATTACGCGGAGTCCCCAACTCCCCAGAAAAAACTTATCGTACTTAAATCACTATTGAATTTTACTAATGCCAAGTGAATGTACCAGACAATATTTTTTTCTGTGACGGTGAAAAAGTTTGACATGTCACTTTGCATTTGAGAGGAAATCAGATGGCTACAAGACAAAGAAAATCAAGCTAAGCATATATTACAACTTCAGATATTTATATTTTTTTATATTTCTAGAAAAAAATTTGTTTGCAACTCGTGCGCGATATACTTTGGTAATCTCGAATATTTTTTCAACTATTCTTCACCTACCATATTGTTCCAGCTTTCATGATTTTTTACGTATTAGACCTTGAAAATGTTCTAGATATGCTATGGTGGCTAATTTATATGGTCTGTGGTAATATTTATGATAACAGTTTTTTATCAAAATTATCAACCAAAGCCTCTACTTACTATTTATAAAGCAAATATAGATGTAACCCTACAACTGTTTTATTAAACTTTCCTTCTAGATCTTTTAATGAAAGAGTTGATGAAGGGTTCAAAATACACATGCCTGTTCAATAGTGGCAGTTGGTAAAATTGTTTAAAGAGCACGAAATGATAGTTATTTCTCACGAGAATGCAGCAATCATACGAGTAGGAAATTAGCATTTCCGTACGAGTTATACACTATACTTTTTCTACGGCTGTAACAGGTAAAAGCGAAATTTCTGATGTCTTTGACTCGCAGCCATATGATTTCTTTTTAAGTAATGATTTTAAGGATGGCCTGTTTCTCCTTGTTTCATAGTATACTAACTTACGGACTAATAGTCTGGGAAAACTGTAGTCACAAAGAAAAAGTATTTGTAGCACAAAATAAAGTAATACGGATCATTAGTTTCAGTAGCTATCTATATCACTGTAGACCTCTTTTCAAGAAATTATCAATTCTTCCATTACCCTGTTGCTATATAATGGAAGTGCCTTCTATTCATTCATAAAAAATGTTCAACAGATGGTATTGTACGGCACAATCATATACATTCATACTCAACTAGAAATAGTGATGATATCTGCATACCATTCTGGAGAATTAAAAAAATACAAAATTCATATAGATATATCAGTGCTAAGCTCTATAATGCCCTACCACACAGCTATAAAGCTTATTCAGTATTTAAGAAAAAAATACATGATATACTGATGTTACATTGTTTTTATTCAGTTGAGGAGTTTCTCTTCCACATGCCCCTGTACATGCGAGTTTGATGTTGATATTTGAACCATGGAATTATTCTCGTGTGTCATGTTTTACTTTTTTTTTTATTTCATGGTAGTGCGTGTAGTTTAGAATGTATAGTCTATTGGTGACGGGTGTAAAATTCTTGTAATTTTATATAAAATGAATTATCATTATCATTATCTATCAGACAGCTAAAGTTGTCATTGCTTGAAATTTGACATTTCCAGGGAGATGAGATTTTGTGAAATAATAATATGAAGTCATTGTGATATCATATACGAAAATAAAATTGATGACATACAAAGTTCCGATACCTCATTGATTTATCGAACACAGTAAAACATGGTAAAACAAAGGCAATTTCTTGTTATAGCCGTAGAAAATATTATTTACCTACAGCCCTGCAATTACTTAGAACATCGAGAGTCTGTTCGTTTTGCACTCGAAACCACGATTTCTAAGAACTGAAGAACGCTTACTTCATCACTTTTCCCGTCCTGTTTTCCAGAACACAGCCTCCCAGATTAATTTCTGATTTCAATTACTGCTGGCTTCGAACAAACGCAGAAGCGATTCTATTTTTAGTTTTTAGTCTAGTGTGCGACGATCTAATTCGCAGACGGCCGTTTGTTTTTGGGCAACAAAAGAAAAGCAGAGCAGAGGACTAGAGGAGAGAGACGACACTCTTCTCGCGACCGGTATTGCTAATAATTCTGCATTAAAGTGTTTCTGTGTGTTCGTCTCGGTCAACTCGCGGTTTTTGCTTGTCCCTTGACTTTTTATTTTCGTTGATTTTCGTTGTTTTGCTTGCAGATTACGGCGATGAAAAGGCCTTCCCCAGAACCGGCCGATCAGACGTTAACGAAGGCACAAAAGAAACCGAAAGTACAAAAGAAGAAAAAGAAGAGAGATCCTAATGAACCACAGAAGTAAGTGAATGTTTAATTTTTTTTTGGTATGGCTGTTTCTTCCTACCTATTTAAGTACCTAACCTATGTTCCATTTATGTTTTGTTCAGTAGATATACATATATACCTACTTACTTGTTTAGTATAAATCTATTGTACATTGTACCATTTCAATGATTCAATGACATAAATAATGATAATAATGGTCAATGATAAAATTACGAACCACTAGATGGCACTGAAAAACTTTGAATCCAATTTGAATCAACGTTAACACTTGAAATGAGATGATCTAAAACACGTCTTATAAGGATCCAATGTAAATTCGTCGTTTTCAAATCCATAACTGAATCATCAATCTGAGATATTCTTGATGATGAGTGATTGATCATAATTATTATAAAAAGCAAGTACATAATAATATGAGTTCAATCTTAATCAGTTATTCATGTTGTTTTAAAAAATGTTTTTCATCACTGGCCCTACTAGATCAATATGATGTTATTCAAGTATTGCTATTTCTATATTTATTTTTATTCTCTACTCTCCATATTATATTTCGGAAAATGAATGTAGTGGTAAGGATTACAACTATGTTGGACTAATACCTATATATAGTTGGTGAAACGTGAAATCTTTTGAAGAATGAGATGTGTAGGTAGTCAAAGTTGGAGGTATATGAACATACATCTGAAATATCTATCATGAAACTTTACATTTATTCAGGAGAAATTACAATAGGTAGGTTGTACATCTTCAATTCAGATGCATTCTATGTTATTTGATGGATAGTACTACAACTTTTCGTCCTCAACCCTTTTTGGATTTTAACATCTTCAATTCAGATTATTTCCTGAAAACACCTACAAAACTTTTGGCCGTTATGGCCAATTCTGGCCACCATATTCTGGGCCAGCATAAGTCCAGCAAAACACAATTCAGGAAATATCTTATAACACGTTTAGTTCGCAAATATCACGTCCCTAAGATGACCACCGTCTTCTTCAATGTTGCAATCTGTTTCTGAAATCAACCATAACACGTCGGAGTAAATCTTCATCAAATTGAATTCCTCACGAATCCTTCCTTTGAGTTCCAAAAGTGTTTCAGGACGCGTAGAGTACACTTTGGACTTTGAGAATCCCCACAGAAAAAAATCCGGGACCGTCAGATCCGGTGATCTTGCGGGCCATGCAATGTCGCCACCAAACCTGGATTTGCACGATGGACTGGGTCAGGATGATTTTACAGCAAAGATCCGTTGATTAACCGGCCAATTTGCCATTGTAACACAAAACCTCCAATAATAAATTACAATTTTATCACTATTTGACGTTTGTCAAATAAACAGTATTTCCACAGCAACCTTTTCAAAACCATTCAATCCTGTTGCCGAACCCTGTATATATACTTGTTGTCTACCAATTAATTTTCGTGGCAATGGCTGGGCTAAAAATATTTGTTCATTATATAACAATAATGCATTAATTACAGTGTTCAGTTCTTTACCTATATTCGACAAATACTTGGTTCACATAACAGTAATAGATCAAAAACTGGAAAAGTAATCTGGCTGTAAAATTATCAGACCACCTATTCTACGTCATCAAATCAAGTTAATAGAGGTATATCGTATGATCGAATATAATTAAAGCCTTGTTCTATGTCAATTCTGTTGACTAATACATTTATAATCAATATCCTTCAAGTGCCTCAGTAGCGTAATGGAATAAGCGTCTGACATTTGAATTATTCCCCCCTTGGAGTTCGGGACTCGAGTCTTCCTTTTTTTTGTAACCGAATAGTGTCGGCAGATAGTCCTGTGGCCTATGGTGGCCGGTGCGACACCGGCTAGCCGGGCCGACGATGTCTCATGATTGTGGCCCGCTGATGTTGTCTCTCGGCAGTTTTTGGAGGGCGTCGAAAGGCCCGCGCTATATATGTTTGCTGGGGTAGATACAACTTGAGTGTTTATTTCAAATACTATGAATATATAAAACAAGAGCATGCATATGTGTTCTATTATGAACATGTTAGTTTCCTGAGCACATTTCCACTTTATCAGATTCATGTGATAACTCCAGAATCATCACTAAGGTGAATGCCGCCTTCTAAAAACATGTGTTCAGTTTTAGGAAACTAGATCAGAGGTTTGATCCTTCGATCCCTGACTTACCTTTAGGTTTCCATTTTAAATATTCTTAGTTGGTATGAAGTTGGTATAATTCTGAGCAACTCAGCAGGACTTTTTAAAATAATTCTGAACCCCGAGAAGAAATTTGTGTAATCAGTGTCCGTACACTATGAATTATTGAAGAAATTTGACGTCCTGACAAGATCCAATTTTTTTAGCTACATCAGACCTGTCGATAGGTGCAGAATACGAAAATGCCATGATATAACGAGGTGTTCCATTTGAAAATTAAAAGTTTTTACCACTTCCGGTGTCGAAATGGGTGTACCATATCCTGTTACATTCGATATAATCAATCATTTTGATATGAGTTCTTTGCGTCATTACTCTACCAACTTACTGAATTTCAGCAAAATCGCATAATACAGACACCCTGTATCAACCCCAGAACCCCACAACCTTTAGGCGAGAATCACCCGCCCATGGCAAGTATTGCAAGGAAAATGAACGAATTGAAAATGAATAATACATAGTATGTGTGGAATTGCAACAATAAATCCGGCGTTACAACTTGCGCACTCTCGGCATTTGCTTTATGGACTGAATAACGTCTCTCCCCTCCTCACTATCCGATGCTGCAGCTGGGAAAATGCCATTTCCAACATTTTAATACCGTTTAATGGCACGCGAAAAATCAATAGACGACGTGCCAGGCGATATCCAGAGGCGCAACAACCAAAACTTCACGATCTTATCATTCCACTCTCTTTTCATCATCAGCTCTCAGTATGATTTTCCCGATATCTTCATTATTTATGCTTCGATTTTCAAATTCGAAGAAGCATTCACATCTTGAAACATAGGCGCATCGACATTATTTGAAGTATTTTTTTGATAAACGTTGTAGTTACTGAGATAATGCGAGGTATACCGGGTGACACAGGGTATCGGGCCACCCCTGTAACTTCTGCATTCGTCAACGGATTTTTCTGAAATTCGGTACAGTTATATAAGCAATTATTTCGGATTTGATCACATTACAATCCAATATGGCGGACTTCCGGTATTTCTTTAAATGCCAGCAACTTTGTTATTTCAAATGAAACACCCTGTATATTTTTACATATTCAAGTTCAACAGGTCGAAACAAGTGCAATCTTTATTTAAAATGTCATTTTTTAGAAATAATTTAAATTAAAATTGTTTTTTCATTTTACCTCGTGGATAAATGAGATGTGGTCAACACTATTCACAATGAGTCACACATAACAGAAGAACATATTTTTTTCTGAAAAATTTTGTGTCACTCATCCAGGAATCAATTCAGCCACATCAATTTTTGATCAAAAATTATTTTTTTTTCAAATGGAACCCCTATGGGCCACCTACCCGTCTCTCTAGAACATACAAAGGAACAAAATGACATATCATTTTTGTTTTTCGGTGCAGTAACAAATTGTATACATTCAAAAATTAACAACTAGTTTATGAATTTCCTTGCAGTTAGAATAATTTTTCAACTAGGTATGCTGTGGAATAAATGACATTTGACATCAAGATTGCACTTGTTTCGACCTGTTGAACTTGAATATGTAAAAATATACAGGGTGTTCCATTTGAAAAAACGAAATTGCTGGCATTTCCAGAAAAACCGGAAGTCCGCCATATTGGATTGTAATGTGATCAAATCCGAAATAGTTGCTCACACAACTGTACCGAATTTCAGAAAAATCCGTTGACGAATGCAGAAGTTACAGGGGTGGCCCGATAACCTGTGTCACCCGGTATATGAAACACAATTTAACGAAAATTCACAAGTTTCGAGTTATAGCCGTTTGAAATATGATTTTTGTAATGTAACTAGTGGATTTCAAAATTTTATATAATTTGTTCTACTTGTCAAGCGAAATCAAGATTCAACAGGGTGGGAGTACTGAAATCCATCAATATTTTCCACGAATAAAAAATAATCTATATTTTTTTATAAATTACTCCCTACCCCACAAAGGCACAGGACGATTTTTTGACGACAAGTGGATCCATGATCTGGAGATTGTAGGTAACAATTCTAGCCATGTCACAGCTTTTTACCTTCGATTTCCTACCAACTTTTGATCTACGCGACTTACGATTCGTTTACAGTTCGACTACTTTGACTTACAAAAAAAACGCATCAAGCCTAGCCCCTTTCAAATTGTCGGGCTTTGATGAATATTGATTAAACAAAAGGACTTCTCAAATACTATGAGGAAACCAAATGGGCAACAATCAAAACCGGATCAAATAAAGAAATAAAATTAATAGATGTTCATGTTCATATTTGTCATTTTATTTGTTTGGATACCACCAAGAGATTTTTCGGGGGTAAATATATAAGAGATAATGTTTTTATCTATAAATACATGTTAAATTGTATAAATGAAAACATTCTTCGAATGTATTTTATGGAGATTAATACACAAATAATAATAAATAATATACAAAACAAACGACGTTGTGTTAAGTTAACGCGATAATTATCTGACGGTAGTGACGGTGACAGTTGTTGTCAATGTATATTACTCAACAGTATTTTCCTCAATTTCAATGAATTTTGGAGGTGAAATTAACAGGAGCTTCTCTTGATGTGATTTGATTGGAAATAATAATTCCAGCGGCGTCGCTGTGGTTTTTCTGGGTTTGGAATTGGAAATGTAACTTTCTTATCCCCTTTGTCACTTTTTGTATTCCGCTTATAGTTATTGAGGAGACAATAAATTCGTATAGACTCCAAATATTATGAAGGTGTCCTCAAGACACCCATTGAGAGTACTCAATAACCTTAGTATCATTATGAAATGTTGAGGCTTCGCCAATCACCAACCAGACTGAATATCGTTTTTTTGAAAGCTGATACAGGGGGTCATAAAAAACAATTAATACTTCCAATTTCAACATCCTGTTTCTCAAAAAACGAAGCAAATAAGAACACATGTTCATATGAACTTTCTTTCCTGAAATATGACAAAGCGAATCACCTGTTTCTCGCATTTATTCATTCACACTCCGTATATATTATATATATGTAAGAAATATTCTGCTCCATCTGATTCGATACCCATTCCATGAAATCGTAGCAACCCTTATTGCAAATATAAATCTTGCCTGTGATCTCTCCCTCTTTTCTAATTTGCTTAAAGTGTTATGCTTGTTGAAATCGGAATATCCGAGGAGTAGGCGCAGTTGCTCTGTTCTCATCGATTTTCCGTTTTGACCAATAACTTTTTACGAGTATATGGAATAGAAATGTTCCATTCTCAAATGATATATGACAAGAAATCCATTTGGCAGTATGTGACTACTCTGATTTGATATAACTCTTGCAAGGGAATTCTGCGATTTTTATATTCTCAACAAGATATATTGATTACAGACATGAAATAGTGGCTTCATTAAACTGGTAGTATATAGTAACGATAACTGATTGAGTTCAAGAAAATGCAGTGATTTCAGTTGTTTGATATCTCTAGAAATCATGTTAGTGAAAATGAAATAGGTTCGGAAAAAGGAGATTGAAAATTCCATGTTTTTTGGCATCTCATCAAGTTATCTGGAGTTTTCTTGCGGCATATTGTTTCCTGAAGGGCGCAACTTGTGATATTTTGCTAGACTATTTCACGTTCACGAAGCATAAAAAGCATTTATTATAAATGAGCGATTTATTCTGACAACTACAGCTATAATTATTTTATGCCAAACTGACAGACTTTGCTGTGATATACATGGTTACATCGTTGAAGACACCAACGCTGATAGACCAATCAAAATTGAAAGACAGCTAGTGTTTTTGCGATAACACAAGTTGTCTCTGGCTTCTTGTGATTTGTCAGAATGTGAAATAGTACCCATAATGATATTTTCCCTAATGTAAAGAAATTCATTATTACCTTCAAAACCGCGCAGACAAAGCGTGAAAGTAAATGGAAAATATCCGTAAGAAAAACTACTGTTGGTCTTCAATAGAATAGATAGAATTTGAAGCAGCCCACTGAGTAGCCTGAAAGCTGTCAACCAATTGTCAACCAATAAATTTAATTTTGTGATATAACTCTTCAGTCAGTTGTTTCACGTCACTGTCGTCAAAGTTACTTCAAAGTGTCATCAATTTGAATTTTCGTTCTCAGACCCCCTTATAAATATTTGTTGTACTCAAAAAATTGCTTCTTCACAGCTAACAAGATGAGAATTCGAAAATAAATAGCTAGTACTTACTGTAAGAATAATGATATATATGAATGAATGCAAAAAGGTCATAGTCATTTCCACACAGTGTTCATAAAATGAACAACAATGGTAGATTTCGGGAGAAAAACAACTACTTCCCTGGCTAATGCCACGCAGGATATTGAATTACATCCTCCCGAAATCTATGCATCGACTCGTATATACGAATACTGATACAAGTGATTCTTTCCTGAATGCCTATTGATTTCAATTAAGCCAGGAGGCTAGAAACCACAGACCGGTTTCGAGCTCTTTGACTCTCATCAGTGCAGTGTAGTCTCCAGCCAGCCGTCCTAAGACCGCCGACTCAGCGAAGCCTAGTCTAACAAAAATCATGTTGGCATTATATCCACCCCAAGGCGTCTTTCATCGACAAAATGAAAGTAACGCCATCTGAGTAGAACCGAGGAAAGAATCACTCCAAAACTGAAATTCCCATACGGGAGTGGCTGGTAGCCCGACTGGCGTGATTTCAACTACGAAATAGCCACAATATGCTCAAAGTGGAATGGAATGTCAAATAAATGCAAAAAGCTCAAAGTCATTTCCACACAGTGTTCATAAAATGATCAACAATGGTAGATTTCGGGAAAAAAACAGCTACTTCCCTGGCTAATGCCACGCAGGATGTTGAATTATATCCTCCCGAAATCTATGCATCGACTCGTATAAACGAATACTGATACAAGTGATTCTTTCCTGAATGCCTATTGATTCCGATTAATAAGCCAGGCCGCTAGACAACCACAGACCGGTTTCGAGCTTTTTGACTCTCATCAGTGCAGTGTAGTCTCCAGCCAGCAGTCCTAAGACTCTCTCCCGAAATCTACCATCGAAATATATCGGCAGCTAGAGCGAATAACTTTTGAAATTGTTGGGGCGAATTCATAGAATATGTCGAGAAAACGCATGGAATAGCTGTTAAAGAACTAGGTTAGCGTCAACAAAACGCACCTAATGGTATTCTTATTTGAAATTAGAAGTAGTAACCATTTTTATAGAGATTAAGTCGAAAATAAAATATCATATACGGCCTCACGTATATTATTAGATATCATAATTATTATTTGTATGATGGTATCTATGCCCCTAAGCTTCTTGAGATAGTATATTGACTGAAGCCCTGTTTTATTTTCAGTGCAGATTTTGAGGTTTATTATCAATATGTCGTGTATTTTGTTCCAGGCCAGTATCGGCTTACGCACTTTTCTTCAGGGATACCCAGGCAGCCATAAAGGGGCAAAATCCCAATGCAAGTTTCGGTGAGGTCTCCAAAATCGTAGCGTCTATGTGGGATGCACTAGATTCAGAACACAAGAACGTAAGTAACGTCGTTTTGACAATAATGTTCACCTATGAGGTCACACGAAAAATTCCATTAATTTCGAATTACACATTTTTGATTGGGGAACATATCTCTCTGTTGATAATCGAAGACATGATGTTTTCGATTTTGTATTTCGATTCCTCATTTCCTCTAAATATAAAACAAAATGCCATAAGAACAGGGACTAGAAGGTTCACATTCAGGAGGAAATTTAGCGCTCACAAGAGCGGCGGCCGCCTGCAGCTGGTTTGGGGTCTTTACGAGGGTCACTTGAAATGCCATGCTCATATTGCAGTGAGAGGCTTCGCTATAGGGTTCAATGAAAATGTAATCTGAATAATAAACTTTTTTTTTAAATTATGAATATTAGCATAGAAGAATAAAACATTCATAATATAGTGATAATATTTCCATTATTTACAACTTATGGAGAAGATCAAGACCAATTTGTGATCTTAATAACGAACTAATTGCCGCTATTATTATGAAGGTGCCTGTCATGATATTTCTCAGGTGAGCGACTCAAAGAAAACGGTGTTGTTTATTTTAGCTTTTTCATTGGCATTTATGATATTTCATTTTATTTCAATACGGATTTTCACAATGAGGTAGATGAGTCAATGTAGAATAAAGTGAAGCATTTCGATATCCATATGAGAAAAAGCCAAAATGCTTATCATTATTATTTAATTTCACGTGTTTTGTTTCAATAGAATATTAAATAATTTAGGCCCTTTCCTGAAAGCAATAAAAGTACCTACTAATATAATAAATACATGTTTTTCAAGAAAAAGTAATATTTCATTGAAAAATTCTGGACCATTTTGAGAAAAATGGATGATTTCCACGACTTTTCTTATTTTGATCGTTATATTTCTCAAGTTGTGACATTCGATAGTACACCTTGAGCTTTTCAAGGGTTCAAATTTGAAATTTGATGTGTTTATTTCCATCGAAGTATTGTGTAAAGAGGTGGACAAATTCATCGATATATCGATAATTATCGCTAATCCAAAATCACTATCGCCCACCCCTAATTGTGTCGTATCATCCTGTGTATATCTCGAGGCGCTGCAGTGATTCTATCTCAATTTCTTATAGCAATATATTACATAGCCACATACTTCATAATAAATCGAAAAAGAAAAATGAAGAAAGAAAATGAACTTCAACACCAAGTTGAGCTAATTAAACTAATAACAAACTATAACTATGGTGTTTGATGAGATTCATTAAATTTTGTGAGTTGCTTACTAACCTCGTTACTAACTAATTGCAACTAAGAATGTAAAGAAGTTTAATCATCCATTGATAATGAATGAACGATGCTAAGTATATTCCATATAAAATGAGAGTTATTTTTCATTATGTCTGGAGGGATTTTATGATTTATGTTTACGATGTACAGAATGACGACTGATATACTAGTTTACCTTACAATTGCGGAAAGTGATGCTTTTCCGAACGTTATTGCAGGCCAGCAATCACGTGCATATTTTAATTTTCGGGGCGCAAACTGTGATGTACAGTTATATTAAAAAAAGCGTAGAAGTATTATAGAGAGAAATTAACCTCATTCTATTTGCATAAAATGGTCTATCGGGAATGATCGTTCACCAAATGTTATTGGCAGTTGTCATGACTTGTCAATACCTAATACAAAGCATTGGCTGAGCCAGTTTTACACAACTATGTAGAACTAGGCTTACGTTAACCTCTCGTTTCAATACTTGTACGGTTTTTTATTTAATACAACTGAACATTCCGAATCCGGTCTGAATATAAGTAGCTGATGATATGGTTTATATACGAGTACAGCTAAGGAATAAAAAATAGAAGAAGAATACAACATAACCTCAAAAAGTATTATTTCCATATACGTATTAATAAACAATACGCATCATAACGGGTGCCAGGATGAAGCCAAAAATATGAAACAAATGAATATCCATAAGGATTTGGTGGCATGATACGCATGCGCCATGCGCTATTATAGTAGTCATCAAAGACATGCGTTTCGGTGGACAATGACGTTTACTAGCCTTTCAATCAAAGCAGTATGTGTCTGATCGTTTCAAAACTTTTCCTTATGGATAGTCATTTGTCTTCAAAAATCGGCTTCATGTTTCGCTATGGAAACAGATAGAGATTATCCGTATTGATTATTAATACGTATATGATTATTTCAGTTTATATAGTGTTGTAACTGTTTATCATGAAAAATAATGATGATCAACTAACTAACAAAGCAACTATAAACTGGAGACATAGCGGCTAACGAATAGCTGGAGATCAAAAATCGATACAGGTAAAAATTGGTAAACAATACTACTACATAGCAGCAAAAATTGCCTGCCTGTCACTATGTGTGGTGTGGAGTGGTAGACGGTCTCAAAATTCTCATAGCAATATGCCCTGTTGAGAGATATAATCTACAACTTTCCTAGATGATAGATCCGTTTTATATAGGATTTTAATATATTTATATAGGACAATTTTTTTTGCAGAAAGTGACTAACAAGTTCTGATTATTGAAAAATATAAATTTTCTTCATTAGTAATCAAATCCATCTAGCAAATAAGAGATTTATGAAAATTATTCATAATTCGCGATAGAAAATAAGCCTACGCCACCTATCGGAGTTCTTGAAAGCTGTCAAAGCGGCCTGTTTACTTTGCTTCCATTGGTTCACATTTGTTTTTTGTTTGTGCTTATTGGTCATAGCATCAAAACAAACCGCTCAGAAGTGTTCCAGTTGTTGCCGTCAGATGGGGCGACGTGTTATTTTCTATCGCGAATACTCGACAGAGTAGGCTTAAAACATATATTATGTCCCATTGTTGTTATACAGGGTGTCCCTAAAACTTACCACTCGTTACCACATATTCTTCGGACCAAATTAATCCGATACACGCAAACTTACCTCAGTGCAAAGTTGTTTAGTTTGGGCGCTAGACGGATGTGAAGTTACTATTTTCAAATCGTTTTTACTTCAAAACTTTGAAACGGCTCATGAGATTTAACTCAGATTTGTTACGTTGGCATAGCTTCATTGGGAAATGAATATGAAGAATATCATTACAGGGGCCTAGAACTTGCTTTTTTCAGTAAATAAACAAAAGGGTTTGGATATTAAATTTGGATTGCGTGATTTGTTCGCTACAAAAAAGGGTACTTTTGATAAAATTCGATTATACTAGCTCTCATGGTTTCGACAAAATTACAATTTTAGTAATTCAAAGCATCAGTCAACATTAAAACGAATAACAGATATTTCATGAAAATTGTTCCATATTTCCATCATTTTCACGTACCTATACAAAGATTTTATTCATATTGCAAAATTCATTGACATTTGAGCTTTATTTGCCATCTGAAATTGAATGTATGTCAGATGGTATGACTGTTCAGTAAATATGAAAAACTCGCCAAAAAATCATATTGTTGATTTACCTATATTATAAAAAGTGTACAATGACAAAAGAAGAGCAAGCGGAAAGAGAAGGTGAAATTTCCAGCTTTTTCGTAAAATATCTCGATGAATAGTGGTTTGTTCATATTTTCATCATCAAATTCGTGCTCTTCACACAAAAAATATGTATGTAACACAAAGAAATCTAAAGAGAACCCATAGCAAGTGCAAAATTACCAAAGAAATAGTTCTTAGGGTTTAAATTTAATGTATTCATTTTGATAACACCCTGTATAACACCGTATTGCGTATCATCCTGTAGTGAATCATTTCGAGGCACTTTAAATAATCACGTAAACAGATTCCATAACGCAAGACAAGAATATTTAAGAACTGTAACGGAATTGGAAAACGCTTGTGGTACCTATTCGAAAAATATAATTGTTTTCGATTTTACGTTTCCAATGTTGTCCGTCTCATTATGTTCGTTAGTTATTTTCGAAATACTAATAACACTTTAAATTAACCAGGATAGGTTAACTAGCGGTTTATTAGAGGTACTACACAATAACTGGGCGTGTTCACAATGATTATATATAATTGTTCATTTTCAATGATGTTCAATTGAATCATTCGACAATAGTGATGTAGCATTGAAGTGTCGTTGACGAAGTTAGTATTTTTCATCATTACAAAATCAACGATCACATATGTTCAATACCTGCACATCTGAATAGTTTTCTTCAACTTTTTGGTAATTTTGAATCTTCCGTGAACGCTGTTTCGGAACGAAATACTTCTGTATCTCAATCATCATTTCTTCATCATCACTTGTATCCGAAGTATCTATGATTTCGGAAATTATTGTAGTAATAGTAATAAACTTCAATGAGATATTCATAATTATTCAAATTCCAAACTTTTTCCCATTCGTGACTCGAATATTTGAGGTTATGTGTATCGCACCGTCGTACAAGCACAGTTCGATCTGAAAACTCGAACTCTGAGCGGGCATCGAGCAAGTTTAAAAGCCAGTGGAAATCATTTCTCGACAAAAGTGCGCTCTTGAAATTCTCAGTGGACCACGCAAAACGCACTCAGTGCCGAAAAAGTTCGAGCTAGTGCGACGAGTGGAAAACGTTATAAGAAACATAAAGGCGACTGCTCACATTACCGAATGCTTTTTTTGATATCCAGGAAGCATGTGGCTGTTTTTTGGTTATTGAGTTTTATTGAAATTCGAAACAAGAATAGTCAAAGATTGTATTGTCGACCGTAGGTTTCGAAAGCCAAACTGTAAGTTGGGAATTTTGCCATCTATTGTCACTGCGATTTTCTGTTTGATGATTATTTCCAACAGTTTCCCTAATATTGGTAGTAAGGTGATTGGTCTATAGTTTACAACATTCGATCTATCAGTACCAGGTTTTGGGAGAACCACATTTTTTATGATGATAGCATTTTGCTATCATATCATTTTTTGATAGACATCTGGATTTTGCGTACATAACCCTTTCAGTTCCTGACAGTAGGCAATGACCACATAGCTCCTGCTTCCATTGCATCCTTGATGTTTAATGTAAAATAGCCCCTTCTGCCAGTGTATCTGCTCAGATATGAGGAACAGAAACAAATCCTGACAGGACAAGTTACATATACACGTAACACGTTCTTCCATGACATAACCGAATATTTCCAGGAAATGTTACTTGACCCCTTCTTCCACTTGCCCCTTCAATTATCTCTTTAAGAAATATAATTATTTTTCCTTATCAATTATATAATCTCAGATTATAACAACAAGAGCCCAATCAAAAGCCCTAACTACTCCGTGAACTACCTTAACGCAACTAGTTACGTATAGTACGACGTTTCAAAATTTCCATCAGTTTTGAAAAAAATAACATGTGCAAATAAGAAAAATATACTATTGTGTGCATGAAAGGAGACTCCTTTTATTAAACAATCTATCCCAACTCGCCCACACGAACTCGTCTCCTAGAAAGCATACGTTTCCAGGTGTACAAGAAGAAGACCGAAGCCGCGAAGAAGGAGTACCTCAAAGCCCTCGCCGCCTACCGCGCCAGCCTCGTCTCGAAGGGCGCCGGCGACGCCGAGGGCATGTACGGCTCGTACGCCAGCTACCAGGCGGGCGCGCCCCAGTACGCCGCCTACCAGCCGCAGGGCACCGTTCCGTCGCCGCCCATGTCGGCAGCCGCCCCGAGTTCCGCCCAGGCACCGCCCGGGGGCAAGAAGCCCATGATGCAGCAGCAGCAGCATCAGGGGATGATGCAGGCGCATGCCATGAGCATGCAGCACATGCAGCAGCAGCAGCAGCACAACAGTTATATGCAACAGGTTAGTGATTTTTCTAATAGCAAATTCCATTCGTAAACCTGGTGGTGCACTGGTTTTGCACCAGTTTTGCACCCGCTCTACGTTAGTTCTCTTCAAAATGTGAACTGGTGCATGCAGCAGCAGCAGCAGCACATTAGTTATATGCAACAGGTTAGTGATTCTTCTAATAGAGCACTAGTTGTGTTTTATTCATCCGATTCCGCCACCGGAATCACCTGAATGTGTTTCATTCCGTCTGACTACTAGATGACGTAGAATGACTGTTGACAGTTGTCATCAAATGAAATTATAGTGCTCGAAGAAACAAGTGGACCACTGAAATATTTGACAATTTTCAAACTGCCATATCTTTTTAGAAAATGAATGGATTTTCAATCGGAATGCAGTGCTTGGAAGATGCGATCTTTCCTTTCAAGATTTCCTGTTCAAAACTCGTCGGGAGTTTTTCTGTCATTATTCACCAAGTGTTCGAAAAAAGCGAGGAAAAAAGTATTACAAAAATTAGAGAATTCTAACGCTTCCGTATTTCAGGGATTTTCTTTATTTTTCTATTAATTATTTTTTTCGAACGTTCAAGCCAATATCTCGAAACGGTTTTGTAATTTTCCATATTCCTCATACAGGATGTTCAAAATCGACAATTTTTCATTTTTAGGTTCTTATCGCATCATTTCCGATTTTAAAATCATGCAAGCCACATTCAAAGTATTTTGCCACTCTATACGACGGAACACATCCTAGAAAATGGATTCATATTGCGTTGAAATCATCGACAATTTCAACAAAAATTTTTTTTTTCTTTAGAAATGTTGATTTTTCAGATAAGGCAATCCAAGGGGGCGCAAGGAGGCCCTTCTGGATTTACATAAAAAATGTATATGTTTTTAAATACTGGCGGTAGATCTAGGGCAATCCACAGACATTTTTCATCATCATTTTCTGCTGAAAACTATGTTGGATCGGGACAAAATGTAAACATTCGTCTCCCCTCTTTTTATATGTCTATGATTCCTACAATACTACGCCTCTGGCAATAGACATTTTAAGTGGGGTGCTGTACCTTTAGAGGCCAGGTAGCTGGAGACTGGAGGCGAGATTTTGCATCATTCTTATTCAGTATTCTTCTTCTGGCCTGGCAGTCATTCTTGCAATATACCTGAAGTACTCTTGAGTTTATATTTATTAATAATTCTAACCATTATACAGTAAACTACACTGAATGTGAATATTTAATGTGCATAGCCAAGGTCTACAATGATTTGACTTGTATGTATGTATATCATCAAATAAAATTGATTTCAGTTTCTTTACGAAATTAGGCATAAAAAATAATTATATAGATTATTTGGTATGGTATTGTTATAAACACAGGCACAATACTGAAAACTCCTTCTGAAAATTGATCTGTAATATTTCGGCACAACTACAGTATGTTGATTTCTTGCTCCTAAATATTCTTTATGTTCGACGGAACGCTTCAACTTGCTTCAACTTTTCAAATAACTAATGAGGCTCTTTGTGAATTAAAACATTGTGTGTTATAGAGAGCTGGTAACATTTTATCAGATTCCCTAGGTTCAATTTCCTATAATCTTTTCAGGTCTGACTAATGTGATCATACTTTCTAAACGAAAAAAAAAAGGTCATTCAAGAATGTTGATTCTTTTGCAAACGGAAATGTTCTGTTCTAGTAATGGCTGAGTTATACAATATTGCATCTCAGGAAAGTTTTGGAAATAATCAAAGAATCACATAATAATATTTGCATTTTCAACGCGTTTGTCATTGAATGTCTGTACAGAGACTTCTCAAAGTTAGATAAGAAATTCTGCATAAATTTACAATATGGTTATCAAATCACATGTCTGTCCAGTGATGAACCGAACCGTTGACATTAGTTCACTGTGGGGATTATTGTTACTTCTATCTGAAAAGTACCCTCGAAATTACCATTCTGTTGGATTTCGTCTCGCTTTGCTTTCGGTCCGAATATTGAAGCTTTCGATTTATTTGGGTTCAGCTTCGGTACCTGTGCGGTTGATATGTGGAAAAGTCTGTCAAAGTCATCATTCATCAAGATGATACACTCCCGCCTTTTTTCATGATCAAAACTGAAATACGCACCTGTGTATCATCCGTATAGAAATGCATTTGACAATTCGCAAGGTGAGAGTGGAAATTCTAAATGCAAATCATGATCGGCAAAAGTCCGAGTATTGAGCCTTGTGGGACTCCTTGAACATTTTCGAAAAAATGTGCTATTTATATCATAAGTGCAACTGAAAAGCCTGAATAACTCCGTTCATCACAGAGTAATTTTGGGTCCAAATATAAATTTTGAGACAGAAGGCTATGATTCATTACTATACAGGGTGTTTCAGATTTAAATGTACTTACCATACCTGTAGATAGAGGACACTTTGATCATTCCAAGTCACTTCCCATTGATGTGTCTACTGTCTTTTATAACTGAGATACAGGACGTTATCTTGATTTTCGTAAAATTTTCATCTGGTCATAACTTTTGAACCACTTCGTATAATCTATCCATACTTGGTAGAAATATTTCACTTATATTTCATAAACAATACTCTGCATGGCAAAATCTTGTAGATCTGTTTCGATATTTGAAAAGAGCAGGAAAAAACGAATAGTGACCTACTTTTTACGAGCGCGCATCTGATTTGATAGATGTTTTATGTTATTTTCTGAAATAATCTGCTTCATTTTGGGGCATTTTTATTGAACCCGTAATTCCTAATACAATTATTTTACAACAACAAACAACAGTCTTCAAAGTTCAACATCATCAGAATTAGGTGAACTATCGATAGATTTGTTTGTTTGACCACGTTTGACATAATAACTTGTCTGTGGTTTTATAATTTATTATGTAACAAGTGTTATAAACGTCCTTTTAGTAACGAGTAGTTTAAGCACGAGCGGAGCAGAGCGGAGCGAATGTCTAATAAGCGAGTGTCTAGAAGAGTTTATAAAAGCGTTACATACTATGATTTTTCTACGAACTCCGAAAATTACATTAACATACCTGCAATTCCTGCTAACCTACAAAATAATTCGAAAGGAATGGGAATTGAGAACATAATTGCAACTGCATGCAACCAGCGAGACACGTATAAGTGATATTGGTTGTAGATGTGTCCAGTCCATTGCTTACTAACCTTTGTTTCACGTTTATTGTCATGCTTAGCGCAGAATAAATAAATTGTTCTCAAAGGTGGATGCTTCATTTTTACACTTCTTGGAGATATGCAAGTACCAGAACATTCTCTTCGATTTCACTCTCGTCTACTTTTCGCATATATTTTTAATGAAGAATTCTGATACAGACGAAAATTGTTTGAATAATTCTGATACAAAATTCGAAAATAACAGTTGATAGTTAATAAAATTGACAGCAGGCGAGACATGTCTCAAATTACTACAGACAGTACTGAAGCTGTGTTTAATGAACTGCGTTGCCATGGTAATGTGTTTAAGAAATCGTGTTGCCATGGTAACGTGTTTAATATTTTGAATAAATCACAGATCGACAATCCGTGATTAATAGATCATTTAGGGTGGTACATATCCGTACGCTAAATGTCATTTTAGCTATGTGAGTAGAAAAAATATTTTTGAGGGCTCATTTTATCATTCACTAATAATTCATGAGCTGCGGTAAAGTAGAATGTGCAAGAAATCCTGATATTCTGATAGTTCATAACCACTAGTGTGATATTATTGGTAACGTTAAGATAATTGTTGGTGCTTTTATATTGGGTTGTTACATTTCAAAGTGTTCATAATTATGCTTCAACACAATAACCTTGATGTTACCAATAATATCACACTGGTGATTATGAACTGTCAAAATTTCAAAATTTTTATCACAAGCTAATTTACCGAAGCTTATGAATAAATAGTGAAGAACAAAATGAGCCCTTGAAAATTTCTAAAATCATTGACAAGTTATTCTGTCAAGCGAACAAATCTATCGATAGTTCACCTGATTTGATTCTAAAGATGTTGAACTTTTTGTATCAAAATGGGATTTTGAATTTCGAGTTCAATAAAAATGCCTTGAAATGGAGCTGAATATCTCAAAACATATAATAATAGACCATCTGTCAAATTGGATGAGCGCTCGTAAAAAGTTGGTCACTTTGTTCCTCTTTCCCTATCTTTCCAAATATCAAAACCTCGATTAAAACAGATTCACAAAATAATGCCTTACAGAGTGCTGTTTTTGAAATAAAAAAAGTTATCTGTTTTTCCTTAAGACGGACCTGGATTTCCATTCAGTTTTGATGTGTAAGATTAATGGAATATTTATGTCAAGTATGAATAGATTATACAAAGTGTTATAAAGATTATGGCCAGATGAAGATTTTGCCAAAATCAAGATAACGTCCTGTATCTCAGTAATAAAAGACGGTAGACACATCAATGGGGGTGATTTGAAATTGTCAAAGTATCCTTTACTTACAAGTATCGTATGTACATTTACGTCTGAAACACCCTGTATAGTACGTATTGAGCTATTATTTGAAATCATCAAACAGTTACGAACTTATAATACATTTTTGATAGTGCATTTGTTTTGTTGATCAGTGTATTCATAATCCTGCAAACTTTGAAGCGACACTTTTAATTTTTCGAAGTTTGCCATTCTAGTAAGGAATGAATGAAGATCATTGAATAAAGTATACAGATAATTACGACCCTGTAACTCCTGGGCGAGCCCCTGGGTTTCTCGAAATTCATAGTTGGCCATATTTTAAGACAATTTCAATAATTATATTATTGACATTGACAACTGTGAATGCTGGTTGTTCTGATAAATACACTGGATATTTTTCACGGATTATACGTATATCTTGAATATTGGAAGATTATATCGTATTTGCCATTACTTATATAATTTTAATAATGGTGAAGATAAGACATATCAAAAAAAGACGACCTCTGAAAAATCTGGATCATCTGAATAAGGTAATCGGAACTCTTTCAAAAGTGAATAATATATGATATAACTTCCAACGTTGTACTTTGCTGTAATGACTATTTTGTGGGGAAATACCTATATTATGTATAGTTGTGGGTAGTGGAGGAGCCAAAATTAATTATTCTTTTTCAATTTGTTTTCGAATTTGGATTACATCATATGGAGTAGAATAAGTTTTGGTATACAGGACATAGGTATTGCATTCTTATGAATATATCGAAGACTGGAACCTTTGGCACGATAATACACTACACTGTTTTACCACTAACCAAACCGATTTTTTAACGCCTCGACACGTGTTTCGCTAACTATGTTAGCATCTTCAGGAGAAGATTAAAACTAAATAACCTATTCTAGTGTGCTGCTTAAATACTAGGTATATGTTCACCCAACTGTGAAAAATACTAACCGTCAAGTTAATGTTTGTCATGGTTGAGTTCACATGTTAATCCGAATTTTTATATTACTAGACTATATAGAGGGCTATATGGAATAGGTCCATTATCCTTATTCATTACTCTATTACTATTCTTAAATTAGTTAAGCAAGTAAATAACATTAGAAAACTAGACGCATATGAAAGCTTCCGAAGGAAATATCAACCATTCTCATATTCACATTTACAAAACAGATTATTTAAAAAAAATCTATGACAATTGATTTTATTATTAGATTCTTTCAATTAAAATCGTTGGATTGTGCAAAAAATTGTATACACACCAGTGAGTTATTTTTTCCACATCAGGAAAAAACCATGCACTTTACTCCTTCGATGTATAATCTACTATCAACACACAAAAAGCGAAACAAAATTATGATGGGGAATGAGAAATTGATTGCAGAACTACGTGATGAAATTGAAAATTTGAGAACGAAACTGAAAAAATCAAGTAAATTGCAACGTGATATATCATTGAATTGCGTTTTCAATACCGACCGAACTAGTTATAATTATATCCATATACCTATGTCTATTTTCTCATATTGAATCTCATAATTAGGCGCTATTAGTGAAATTGAAAAGACAAAGGGCAGAATATATGTCATTCTTTCATTCACTCAAGCTTTGTAATTTGAAAAATAGAAAAGGACAGAAGTTTAGCTGTGTTCGAACTCATATCTAGTAATACCATACAGTGACTCTACTTTGAACGATCTTCAAGACAAAAGACAACAATTTCAAACAATGCATAGATACATAATTTACATCAAAAGCGCGTAAGATGTGAATTAATTCAGGTCCGTATCGACAGAGTGGAGTATTTGAATGTCAATTATTCAATACTAGCCCATCAGCCTATCGTAATTATTATGTTCAAGTTTGTTCATTCATAAAATAATGATATATAGAGAATATATAAAAACATAATATTATGGAAGAAAATCATCCGCGGCTCTAGATCCAGTTTGAAATCATTGATGATGAGTTCTCCGACCTTTGGTCTAAGACAGGAAGTGAACCAACAAATCTATGATATTCGAAACCACTGACTAATTAATATCCGTTTGTTTGCACGCACCTTAACTTGCTGTTTCCTCGACAGCAACACGCGGCCATGTCCCCGCCGCAACAACACGTGCCCCTCTCCCCCCACATGCAGCAGCAACAGCAGCAGCAGCAGCAGCACATGAGCCCCCCGCCGATGGTGTCGGCGTCCCCTCCAGCCAGCGGCGCCCCTCCGCCCCCCTCTAACGCCGCCGGCCAGGGGCAGGGTCAGGGGCAGCTGCGCGGCGGGCAGACGGGCTGCATCCGGCACGGCTGCCCCAATCCGGCCGTCACGAATCCCGAGTGGGAGGACGAGTATTGCAGCAACGAGTGCGTCGTCAGCCATTGCCGGTGAGTATTCGATAGTGATAATAATGATAATATGTTTATTCAAATTCAAATTGTTATAATAATAATAATGATAATAATCTCTATTTCCTTCAAAACTTCCTCTGATTTGAAACATCTATTAGTTAACTCCAAAGATAAAATTCCTCTTGTTAAGAAATCTGGTGTTTATAGACTTAATTGCAATGACTGTAACTCATCCTACATTGGTCAGACAGGTAGGAGTTAGTTGGATCGCAACTATCAATCGTGCAAAATCATCTGCGGCCAAGGCTACGAAATTCAGAAATCATGACATACCTAACAACCTTTCGATGTTGATGACCACTCGAGCGCCTTATCGTCTACACTAGTCTACACTATCCCACTGTTTACACGTTAACTGCCCACAATACATTTGAAGTTTCGGTCCATGGGGCCCAAACACGAATCTTAATATAAATCGTTCATTTGGTTGTACTTATGTAATTTATGTATGATACTTATCATAAGAATATTAATAATCGAAGAAAAAGTGATTTGCAAATGAAACCCAACGTTTGGGTTTCGGAGCCTGAAGAAGTTCCAGGCCACGAAACCCATATGAGGGTTTCATGCAAGACAAGGCCCCGTTATGCGCAGTCAAGGTTATTATTGTTTACACTTGATGAATAGCAGGAAGAAGGAAGAAAAGTAGCCCAACTGAGGACCCCAAAATCAAGATACAAATGTCAACAGTGTGAGCGTGTTTTTTGTTTGCCATGTCTTTTTGAAGAATACAAAGCGTCCAAATGGAGAATAAATTATTTTATTCCAATGAAACTATCAGAAAGCATATTTTATTATATGTATTTGTATTTGTATGTGTGTTCGTTCATCAAATACTTGAATAAATCAACTTTTTGATACTATAATTTTCTTACTTTCATATCCGCAAAAGAAAAACCAAAATACGTAGGCTCATTCACTATTTAGGTCTACCAGGCCCCTCGTAATATCGCTCAATATGCTTTAATGCTTTCTGAAACCCACTCGTCGAACTTCATCCAATGAAGTGCAAATGTATCATGAGAGCCAGTGTTAGGGTGTGTTTGAATAATCAGATATAGGTATTTGACATTTATTTTTCTTTCAGGGATGTTTTCACAAACTGGGTATCTGGCAACAAGAACCAATCACAGAACTTTTCGACGGTCAAATAAATTTGAAGCTTGTAGCGTCGCAAGGAAAATGGCGGAGGAAGTTAGTAGCAATACCAACGTTGGATCTATAAATTCACAACAGATTATGGAAAGGCGGAGGATCGAATAAGTTATGTAATAGTGAGAGGATAGATTAAGGACTGTAAATAAAATGATAATCATTTTAGTATGTGAGGTTGTATTGAAGCAATAGAAGCAATACGATTTCATTGTTATAGGTATACAATACTGAATAATATTGTAATCCTAGTAATAATATGTTGTATATTCGATGTGAGGGGGGCTTACTAATTTTGATTGATGCATTTTCAGAAAACACCCTTTTCAATTGTCATTCAAATGAGTTCAATGTATCAGATTTCTGAATTGTAATTCAGATCAGTCCATTATTGTGATTCAGAAAAGAGTTATTGTAATCTAGAAAGCATCACTCGTAATTCAGAAACTATCAAGTTCTTAAATGAGAGTAGGGAATGAGAACAACAAAATGTTAATTTTGTAGTAAACATTACTATATTCATCAACCAACTGACATAATCTTGAGAATAGTGGTTGCTGTATTATGCAATCCTGGATTCTACCACCCATAAATTTTGTCTGGAGTATCCCTGATATCTTAAATAAGACGGATAGTTTGCAATTGAGTAGAAACAGCGTCTCGTTTAAGCATTGGGAACATACCTTACTGTACTTGGGAAGAAAGAAATCATTTCTAGACAGGTCAACATCCAAGGGGAAACTGAAAACATGAAATTTCGAATCATTCTTATATTCCCTCAGCACTCTGATGAACAAAACTCATTTAGCATTGTTATTTCATCTTACACAACACGAAAGGTTCAACTGAACAGTATTTATTACGAAGAATATCCAACAAAAGTATTCGATCGTGCTGGTAGTTCAGCCAACCATTGGTGACGTAACGGAGTGCTTACGTCATAGTATCACGGCTGGTAGTCACCTCCAACAAAGTTCATCATCATAGCTGGCTCTAAAGAAAGCCATGCTGAGGCAATATAGGCAACGCTGTCCGAATGTCCCTCTGCCGGCTATTATGCACATACACGATATAAGGACTATGAATGCAACGGGGTGAATTGGTTCAGGTATATGGAACATGGGACTTGCCAGTTGTTCATTCCATCTAAGAAACTGAACAAAACTCGACCACTCATTATTCCTCCATTTTTTTTTTATTAAAGTTATATCAAAGCCAGAAATTGACGTTATGTACCAACGTTTCGCCGTGCTCGCCAGCCAAAAGTAGGACTTTCTCTCACCATGGCTGCAAGCCTGCTGTGGCCCATCTCAAACTTGAACCTGAACTATGAAATTCTTAGGGTAATACATATGAATTGTTCTTAGTTTTTGAATCACTGTTGATACTTTCTATATTACTTGATGTTTTCTGAATTACTATTGACACTATGAATTACGATTGACCAATCTGAAATTTAAATTACACTTTCAGAAATATAATTCACTAATCTGATTTACATATTGTGCTCTCTGAATTATGATTGATGAATCTGAATCAATACGGTCCCTTCCTAAATTACAATCAACTATTCTGAGTTACAACATACACTTTCAGAAATACATTTTATACTTGATGAATTACAACTGAAAAAGATGTATAATAGTTTGTGTTTATCTGCTTGAAGATATATCTTTTATTATCCCACAGACATTCCATTAAGAGTTGGATGTTGAGTTTCCCAAGTATTTTGCGCCCCCCTTACAGTACCAACAAATTTGTTAATTCATGCTCTGTAAATGCATGTTATCCTTGAAGAAAAATTCGTAGGTAGTTATGTCCAAAGTACATAATATCGAGGAAGAAATCTACTTTAGTTCATATAGATAAGGTATCTGTTGTTATGAAGGAGAATTTCCAGAATCGTGTGAATATTTTGGTGAATGAAGGACAACAACTGATTATCAACGTGTTTTCGTTTTTAGTACTGAATTATTTTTCGTTACATTACCTAGGATATTCTGTCATCAGAAAAGCGGATCTATTATTTGACGTTTTTTGCATAACTGAAATGGAATCTTGGTCTTGATTGGAAACCTATCATAGCTCATCATTTCATCTATTTATATTGAAACTTCTCGAAATTCCCTACATTTTCAAATTGAAGAGTCAATATGCAAATTCATTCAATTTCAAAACACGCATGTTGACAAATATTTATGGGAACTTTTTTTTCATAAGAATAACTAAGAAATCATTCTACGATTTTTTTACCAATATTTTGGTAATGGAAATTTGTGGGTGCACTGAGCAGGGTATCAGTATACATGAAAATTATTTTCTACCATTCCATACTGTTGATGTTGTTGAAACTATTCTTAATATGATTCTGTCCAGTTTCTAATACCTCACCTTTGGCCTTCTAAGTATTCCTGACCTTGAGTGGTTTGCTAGTTATTTGCGCCAAAATTCGATCAATTGCAATTTGAAAAGTTCATTGAAACATGTTGGAATTTTTTAAAATCGATTAATTGCCGATATTCAAGGAAGTATTTGAACAAATCAAACTCCAATTCCCTGTTGAAGTGCTTAAAGAGAGACTTTTACTATGGAGATCAGTTTGATTATGGTCCTAGGGACCCTTGCTATCATTTTTGAGATTGATGAGTAATAGTAATAAATTCAATAAAATGCCATGAGCATATAGATAATATTCCTAAAACTCAAATTTGTTATCAACTTTTTTGGTGACAGATTCGAAGACAGTATTTAGCGTACAATTATTTTTATATCATTGACCAATCAAAGTTACGCTTTTTGTCGATGTATATAAATTAGTTTATTGTTATCGATGTGAGCGATTCGATTTGTTTTACGTGAACATCCCTAGTATTAAATACACGTGGTGAAGGATGTATATTTGTGAATATGTTGATGGACTTGTTGGTAGTCGAACTGTTTGAAGCAGTGTAATTGCTGAAGAAATTTCAGTGCTGATTTCTCCCCTGTTTCTACAGGGTCTTTCATTTCAAGTCTCGACCACCTTAAGTATAAGTTTTGTTCGCGTGTCAAATTGTTGAATGTTTCCGTGGACTGCGCAGAATTAGTCGAATTCAATCTGGAACAAGTCTGGGACAGTTTAAAAACTAGGTTATCATCTTTTTTTTTTCGAAAATATGCTGTGTTTTGAGGGCATATTTAAATTAGGCGAATCCTCAGCTTCTTCTTAGTCGGAATTCAAGTGAAGGGGTGAGCAAGTCCAAAACTTTCAGGCTAATTGCCTGGTCAACATTAAATGTGAGGTCTCAGAAAAATACCTGATCTAGGAAAATTGTTTCCGAAAGGAGACAGAAATCCAATTGACCAAAAGTAAAAGTTAGGGTATTGTTGATGTTAACATGGAAGAATTCTATAAGCTAGGACATGACCTAAAAAATAAAAAAAAAAAATTAACCTTCTCCACTAAAATATTCCCACCCTTGAATGAGTACAGATTTATGGTGTCCTATTCAAAACCCTCATTTCCCGGATAGGACTTGTGGATTTCCAGGAGATAACATGTTCAACGATGTTTGTTATCATCTGAACATGAAGAGGACGATGAGCTGGGGGCGCATCCAAATTCACACTACATTCCTGAACAGTTCTTGCCCAGAGGCTCGATCTGCTTCGAACTATTTCGAAACTATCCCAAACTAATTTGTTTAAAACGAAAACAAATTATGTGTAATACGGGACAGTCCTGAGATAACGTTAATTTTATGAACGCGAACAAACCCATTGTGTATTCTTCTCAAACTGTCCAACCTTATAGATTTGAGGACATAATTACGAATACTAGACAATTAAGCCTGTTACTTCGAGAGAACCAAAACTGTTTTCATAAGATGTTTATGAGGCTTTGCTTAATGAAATCATTCAAAAGCATTAACCCTTGATTGTTCCGCTTCAGAGCAAGCCATGTGCCATTTAATTGACGTGACCAAATGGTAACGTTCAAAAAGTAGTTAATATCTCTTTCAGTATGTATATTCTTGGCCGTTGAAACCATGTGATAATAGATACGGTTTGGAACGGGTATATTGGCTACACATTTATCAACATAAAATTACTGTGATTGTCATCAGAAACAGATTCTATGTGACAATTTGAAAGTATAGAGAATATCATATCTGATATAGTTATTAACGCAACAAGGCCGATATGTAGCGAATAACGGATGAGGTTGAATATTGTAATCCGAGGCGCAGCCGAGGATTATAATATATCAACCGTACCTATTGGAAGATGCTCTTATTTTTGCAGCAAATAGAGTCATCTGTCAGTTTCACGCCACCTACCTCTGGCAACCTCAATAAAAAAGTACACAGGAGAATAACTGGCAAATCTTGAGAAAAATACAGGGAAAAATGTAAAGATCCAAATACACATAAAAAAATTATAATCTTAGGAAATCCGAGGATTACTCTAGCACTACCGTTTATTAATTCATATTACCACCAAAAACGCACTATAGGATCAGCTAATATAACTGATTTGGGAGGCATACTTCAGGATGTGGGATCCAAGTGAACATACACGAGAAATTAAAAAATGAGGTTGTTCGGACTTGAAATGAGACTCACTGTATTTTTATTCATTCAGTAGGTAACTGTTTGGAACAGTTTGATGTGTAAGAATTGTATAGATTGAATTTTAGATGAATACATATGATGAATTACCTACTTATGTGGAATTGTTTTTTATATTCTATTGTTTTAATGTGTTTGTTTTTTTCTATTTTTATTATTTTTATTTGATAGTTTGGACGTAGACAGTTCAGCCAAACAATTATGTTTATAAAATATTCGAAATATCGAAAATATATTGATTCATTATCTCTCTTGTGAGCTTTAAAATTATTAAGTACAGTTTATGTTTCACTATTACATTGTAAATATCATACTTAATCCAGACAAGCACACAATCTATACTATGTAATCAATTAATATTTAAAAATAAATAGATTCTACTCAGATATTGGCTAGTTCATACTCTTTCTACTGGATCAATTACTTCATTCCTGAAGAGGAAAGCAATAAGATACGCCCGAAATACATACAACAATCTTCTGTAGTAGTCCATACTCAAAGTGGAGTGGAATGATCGAGAAAGAAAACTTAAAAATTTGACTGAAGATGGCCATTTGAATGGCCAAAACATGTATCAAATCAAACCTTATTGGAGCAGGATTGACTGCCTCCTTTGACATCAAAATTGTGGAGACGACTTTGAGTTTTCTTTCTTGAACAAACAACAATCTCTTCTCTCCATCCTTGTACGACGTTATATTTGATATTCCATTGTGAACATCATTCAATCGGATTGTATAGGGAACAAAATGAATCAAGCAGTGATGGAATCAATGTTCCCATGGTAACTCAGTCCTCAGTCAATACACTGTTCCTACTACCTCCTGCCGCATTGTAGATAATGTTACTCTACTCTGCACTATAGATATACACTAATGTTTTCGAACAGCGCGATTTGACGTAATTCGCATGCACTGTTTATCGAAAAATGATTTGTTCACTGTATTTCAACACACACAACACAACAAGTCTATATAAACTTTTTTGATTGAAATTGTCTCAGGAATATGTCACTTGAATATTTTAACACACTTTTGTTACACCCTGTATAGAAAGCCGTTCACGATGCGAAGGTACTGTCTGTTCAAATCCGGCTTGGCTGAGCATTTTTCTTGAAAATGTTTTGATTCATGGTTGTAATCCTGGCAGCACCTAGATATGCCTTATAGGTGTGATACTTTGAAAACATCCAATGGATGGTATCCACAATTTCCCAAAATTATAAATGAAATCTTACTTATTTCAACTGTTGGAAAAAGATGGAAGGAAATGTCTTATTTTAGTATTTTATTTTAAACTTATTCCTAATACACAACAAATGGCGCATTGCTGTATTGCTCAAACACTCTCTTCACCCTGTTGTAATATTGTGGATTTGTTTGTACTTCCAAGGTCCTGTTGATGTCTAGATAATGTATGTTCTCTATTTCTACAAGAGGCCACCTCACATTCAGTAGACTGTCATGTTCTGGAGTTGGGTTACTGAAAAAATATAGGGAATAAGATAGGGACGTTAGGGTATAAATGCACTGGTTCTCGACCAGTTAACCGAAATCGCAAATTTGAGAGTGGTAAATTCATGTAGAAGCTAATAACATTGTATTATAGAGTTAGTGTATACCGATAACTTGATAATTTGAAAGTAATTTGTGAATAGTATGTTTTAAACGTTTTTTTGCATTCAACTTTTGAAATCTTGATGAAAGGAAAAAATCTAAAATTTCACCGGTTCTTGACCACCCCGCAGAGTTTTCGACCATTTTCATGTAGGTTCTCGACCACCATCCATCTGATTGATTCACAGGGAGATGAAATAAATGATTGAAAAATACTTGACATGTATAGATTATAATGCAGAACCGTTTTATACACAGGCAGACTCCTAATAGCTAAAGAACAAAAAATACTTATTTTCAAACATATAGGAACCTAATGGTAATTGCCTCTCTCATTGTTTGCGATTCCTAAAAGAGCTATGAACAATAAAAATCAACATAAATCAATAATCAATTCTATGAATCTGATGAGCAGCTATAGGTACTTCATGGTAAAATATGGTGGATATTAAGATATGCTTTGGTTCTCGACCACTCTTGTCGAGAAATAAAAGAGCCAATTTGTAAAATGGGTTCGCGACCACCAAAAATTTAACAAGAAAAATAATATTTATGTCTGTTTTTTCTTGAAATACAGAAAAAAACTATATCTACTGTTTGTTATAAAACAAAATATATACCCAATGCATTCAAGATGAAAGTTATTCACTATTTTCTGGCCTGGAATTAACTAGTACTTTTCATACGTGGACGATGACACAGCCTCTGTCAATGATTGACGGTTATCAAATGATTTTCGGTGCGAAAACTTTGACTTTTTTCTTCACTCTGCCAGCTCTTTTGAATAGAGCGAACAAATAATCTAGAGTGGAATAGGTAAGGTGATAAATAAATCCCTCATATAAAAGAATTGATTCATCTCGCTAACTCACACTTCTGTCGCTTTGGAGAAAATTTTGTCATGTTTGTTAATATAAATCGGAACATCGGAACACTTCATGTATACTGGGTGAGTCGGGAGGAACGCACCATACTCCAGGTGTGTATTGTGCAGGTATAAATATTTTTAAAAACCCATAGGTATTATGTTTTTATACGATCCTCATTTGTTTTCATTCTGAATTCGAATTGAAATTTCTATAAGTTTCTCGTTCTGTTTAGAAATAATTCAATTCAATTTATATAAACAGGTACCGATTCCTCTTCGATTTTATTATTTCATTGATTATGGAAATTGTGATCTTGAGGTAATTCGCAATCGCGAATAGCAAATACATACGAATTATCATGCACTGCCAATAGTGCCAATCCCATCTGAATGATCCACTACTGCATGTGTCGATTCTGACAGACTAAAATTCAGCAGTTAACGACGTTGACGTTGCTTCTGCTCCGACATCGACAACAGGAGTATCAATTTTTGCCGTTTTGTTATTCAAATCTTTGCTGCAATTTATATTTTGTGAGAAATTAATAGTTTTGAATTCATTTTCAATTATTTCTGACTTGATATTCGGAAGATGTTCTGTAGAAATGGCATTTTGTTTCAAATATTTGTGATTTTTTGGAGGTGTGTAATTCAAGAACCGTACTTTCGCACTTGTTTGGGAACATTTTGCATGGAAATGTTTTGAAGAAATACGTGCTGTAATATGAATGTGATGATAATATGATAGGTGAATACTTTGGAATGAGGATATAAGGAATATAAGGTAGGTACCACTATATTCGAGTTTATATTCTGTCGGCAGCAAGCTCCCATCGTTCCATTAGGTCTCCATTCTTGGAAAAGCAGAAAAATTCAATATATGTGCCTTTTGTATGTTAGTTGGAATTTCCATAACCAGAAACGAAACAAGTAGGCATTACGAAATTATTTCATTCAATTTTAGTACTTATATAATAGCTGAAGTTCGAGACATCAATCAAGAAAACAAATAGTATCAATGACAGTTATATCCCAGCTGACGTCATGCGCAGAATAAGACGAGTTTGGGCTTTCTGTTGAGCACATTATCTTCTCCTTCCACTATGCACAAATCTATTCGAATTTAAAATGATAATAACTTTTAGGTATTATTATTATTCCATGTTTGCACACAAAAAATGGGTTGGTTCATATGGAACATTTTTGTACAACTCCATTTGATCCTGAAATAAATTCAATAGGTAATGTTATCATCTGAAGATTTGATGATTTTGACATGACATGACATACCCAAAGCCGTCATGAAGCCACCGTGTTCTGACGTCAAATATATTTTGTCATAAAAAATGGCCGCCGGAACTCGTCATCTTTTATACCATCCTATGTGAAACGATTAATCTATTTCAGACCTGTTCAAACTCACTGATATTTAATGAAATTCGTCCACAGTGTCAGCATACGCCTCATGGTTAATTGGTCGGAATCAGGATAAAATGATGCATCTTTGGATGAGCCTTCTATACCTCCGAATAGATACTTCAGTTCTTCTGTGTGGCCAACATTACCAGCACCTGTAAAAACGTCGTAGACCTACATTATAGGAATTCCCTTTCGTGCGCTCCGAGCGATAAAAAAAAATAATAATGGAAAATGTGAAATTGATAGCAAGATTTTCGAGAGCCTTGAAAGGTTGTTTTTTGTTGAAATTTTTTCCTAAGGAGGGAGATGGGAATAATTATACAGGGTGATTCACGGGTGAATGGCACATAAGACGTTTCTGGATAACGCAACTGAGGATTATTCTGAAAAGTTGGTGCCATGGATAATTAGTTGTGTTCTATCGACCTAAAATATTCTCAGCGTTGCGACGTTGCCGCTTATATTGAAAAGTAGCACAACTTTAATTTTTTCAATGGAACACCCTGTATATCATTCCATTCTCAGATTCTCCCTGACGAGTTGATTTTATCGATCTATCACACTTTGGGTCTAGCGGGAATTATAACAAAGATAAAGGGTGTGAAAAATCGAAATTTTTCTACTTTAAGAATTTTTTGTGTCGAAACTATTCATGTGGAAGTGACTTTGAGCTTTTTGAATTTATTAAACGTGTAAGCATTTAGGACCCAATTTGATTTGTCTCCCACGAGTGGTAATAATTTTTTGCTCCCGGGGCGTTAAATTTAAGGTGAAATTGATTTTTCTTTACCTGGTACATTGGGTAAATTTTCCAAACCACCCATTTTTCCTTTGAATGAGAACTGGTACAGATAAGTTGGTGCAAAAAGAGAGGCCAGTTCTGCATGTCTTATATTGGGAGTTGCGAAAACTTCATCACTCAAATACTGAAATGTTAAGAAAACAAAATATAACTCACTATGTGATTGTCTGAGACAATGAGAGGAAAAATGGAATCAGTATCCAGGGTGATTTTGTTTTACAAAAAATCAATTGAAAAAACAAGATACCACCCCTCAATGAATAGAGGTATTTTCCATCCCCATTTTATTTTTTTTTCTCAATAAAAAAATCATGTGAATTTCACAAATTTTTGTAATAATAGTTTTTTATTATACAAGGGAAAAAAGTAGTAGATTTTATCTCCAGATTGTGTTGTCTCCCGACGCGTAGCGGAGGGAGACAAAAAACCGTGAGCTAAATGCTAATATTTTTCCCGTGTATACACGTTTTTTTTCTGTGACAGAAGAAAGGACGAATCAATACTGAGAAGATATTACATTATTTTGAAATCTGAGAATTATCGACGTGAAATTTTAAGTTTTTAACAGTAGGGACACCTGCGTTGTAGGCATCTTTATCATTCTTTTGAAGTAATCAAATATCTGATGTCACTTCTGTCAGTCTAATTCTGTGATTTGATTTCAAAAAATTGCGAATTTAGTGGTTGTTTAGTAATATACGTAACCCCGAAGTCGAATGGAAGATAAAAGGACTTGCAGTTCTTTCTCGGAGACGGTATTATTGACTCATTTTTCGGAACTTTAGCACAACAAGAGTCATTAATAGTGTATATATATGTGATATATATCCAGGAAAAAAGTTTTTTTTTCCCACGGGAATAAAGTAATTTATGGAAAGTGACATTTTATAACCTGCCAACAGAGATGAAATGCCAAACTTTTTTCCCGTCACAGAAAAATGTATCTGGAGGTACAGTTGGGTGCGTAAAACTATGGAGTTTTCACTTTTCAATTACTTTTCTTGAGAATGACTCGAAGTATTCAAGAAGAAACTTCTGAATTTTTCATGTGAATGGATCGGTTCTGTCGATGAAACGTATCATGTTTTTGGCGCCTTCATCCATCTCCTCAAAGCAACAAATACTTCGCAAATAATTATAATGATTGTCCACCAGATCGCGCTACAGAGACGTGAGGTCAAAGTTGGTAGAACTGATAGGGTTACTCCATTTTTCGTTTCATTTGGCCTCTTCCTACTATATCTCCTTCTCTGTTAATATGCACATTGCACGTTTAGTTACACATTGGGAGTAATAAACGTAAACCTGTTTAAGTCCAACCATAGCTTGAGTCCTAAGCTTTTTTATTTGTTTACTTTGGTCACACCAAGTTTTCAGGAAATTCACAAAATTGTAGGACTTTAGCTTTGACATAGACTTCACACTTTGAAGTAACGCCATAATTATACAAATTTTATAAGACACTATTTTGTCCCACACGTTTTTTAGAGTCTGACGAGCAAAGCGAGGATTGCTCCAAAAAAACTAGCGCTACAATATGTCCTATGAAACCTGTGTGATAGAGTAGTTTTTCTATTTTGCATTCTTTTGTAATTTTCTATTTAAAAAAATTCATCAATGGAAACATCAAATATTAGGAAGATACGAAGTAAGTATTCGCTCCACCTGACGGCAGCAACTTGAACACATCTGAGCGGTTTAAGCACAAACAAAAAACAAATGTGAACCAATGGAAACAAAGTAACGATGCCGTTTCGACATCTTTCAAGAACTCCGATAGGTGGCGTATGCTTATTTTCTATCGCGAATAATTGGGAACTACAAAAAAACACTTTTGAACGTTTATTCCCAAGTTTGACAAATGGTAGAAAAATTATTCAAGTTGACATCATTATTCCACTGCTATAATTTGAAATTGTTGGTCTCTATTGAAAAACTGAATTCTGAATATTTTGAGAAAGACTGAAGAGGCAAAACTAAGTTGCACTACTCTTGAACTGAGGGAATTTGCCCAATTGGCTATACAGGACATTGTTTTCGGCGTTCTAGTGTGTCCCATTTAGCAAATAGAGGCGGTGATTTGGTCACTATGAAGGTCCATGGAGGATGAAAATCCTCAGCAGTTGCTCAAGATTACATAGAAGCTTCTGCGAATAGAAAAATTGAGGTTGGTAGCTCAAATGATTTCTTCTTCGCCTTCAACTTCTACAAAACATTTTGATGCCTCTATCTCACAGTCGCAATGCACAAACAATAACCTGAATAATCAGGACCAACAAAATCAAACAGCAAATTGTAACGGTCCATATGTTGAGTAAAAATCTCAATCGTTAATTTTGAATCTTCCATTGTTCGCCTTTGTCTGAGACACCCTGTATAACGTTTTATTTAAAATCATATATCGAACGCGAGGATTGCTATCGCCAGCAATGAGCAAGTTTTTTGGGACTCGTCTCGTTTTTGCCATCTATCTGTATTCGCCGTTTCGCCGAGCTATTTGATTACGAGAAACAATCCGGTAAAGATCTGAAATATGAGTTTGGAAAGGCCGAATTTCATCTACAGGTAATCTTCCTTCTTTTCACTGTATTTAAATAATTCGATAATAATTACATTTAATCATATATTATATTTGTTGATTTTCACATAGTCATAAAACTTGCATGCTTAATAAAAAGAGAGAAAAGAAAAAGGAAATGAAAATCAATCAATATATACTGACATTCAATGATTATTATGAAAAGAATTGTAGCAGAGATCTGGGTACGCCGGACGTCAGCCTAGTCACGGTGTAAACCCATGAAGATGCTCGTCGGGAGTCGTAGGGCTTCGGGACAATGGAATGTGCGTCCAGCACGCGCCAACAGGTGATTGGTTGGATTCGAGAGAGGAGTCGAGACACGACAGCGAGTCGAAAATGTTGTTGATGAGTTGAATAGTTGTAAAACAGTGGTTGTTATTATTGTTATTTAGGTGGAAGGTGTTTATTACATGATTATAATTGACGACTGTGTTTAATAAAACCCCACAGCCCTTACATTTGTCAGAAGTGTTGGGAATATTTATTACTCTTTGGTTTGGTTTCGAGTTGTTTGGCTTAGGAATTGGTTTAGCTGGAAACGACAGTGGAAGAAACCATCATGGAGAGAAATCAGATAGGACTTCAAACACCTCCGAATACTTCTACATGTGGAAGTTCTACGAATATAGGAGGTACTCCACCGTTGACATTACAACAACAGGTAACATTGTTGAGAACAGAATTGAGTTCGATAAAAGGAAAACTCGAGGTGAGTGAAACAACTTTTACGTGGGAAAACATTCCAAATTTCGATCCGATGAATAAAAACATTACCATAAACAAGTGGATACGTTTAGTCGAGGAAAAAGCATATTTTTGTCGTTGGGATGATGTTTCTACCACGCATTTTGCAGTGACTAAACTAGCAGGTAGGGCTCGTGAATGGTTCCTTAACACCGAACATAATTATGTGTTCGAATTGGAAAGATTTGAAAATATCACTGCGAAATACATTTGATGTCGATCCAAAAGCAATCGGCGAACTTTTTAAAGACGCTGCTAACTATCAGTCATCAAGTGAGATTTCTTACGTTCAATATTTCACTAATAAAATCAACAAATTAGAAAAATTGACATGGAAGATTTCTGAATCAGACAAAATAAATATAATAATTAGTGGTATAGACAATAGAAATCTGAAACAAAGTGCATTGACTAGCAATTTCAAAGACTTGAGTGAACTGTTAACTTTTTTGAGAAGCTGTGATCAATCGCGAAAAACTGTAGAGAAGCCAATAAATAAAATCAATTGTTTTCGATGCAACTCGGTGGGACACAAGAAAGCCGATTGTCCATTAGGTCGAAATAAAAATGATAATCCGTTCATGCATCGTCTCAATCGGCCTTCAACAAGCAGATACTGTAATTTCTGTAAAAAACCGGGGCATACCGATAATATTTGTAGGAAAAAGGCGGCCGCAGAAGCAAAAACAGTCAACACTCTCGGGAATCATTTTCGGAATTTATATTTCAAGGACATTTTTATACAAAACAAAAAACTCACCGGTTTCATTGACACGGGAAGTGAATGCACAATTATAAAACAGAGTGTTGCAAATAAACTTGATTGCGAAAAGTCACGAGAAATATGTTTCATAAAAACATTTTCGCAAACTGTTATCGAAGTAAACAAAATACCAAAATGCGAAATAACTATAGATGATGTTTCTGCAGTTGTTGAGATATTAGTTGTGCCAGATATTTATTGTATGACAGATGTTTTAATTGGGCATTCTTTCACGAACCAAGCTCATGTAATGTTTTGTAAAAATGGTACAGACATAAAATTTTTCCCAGCAGCTGATATCTCGGGGATTAATACAATATACAACTTGAGTGAGATTACAATCAATATGATTCAATGTGAAGGTGATGCTACCGATTTGTTGAAATTGTTAAACAAATATAGAGATTGTATAGCTACAAGTATGTCAGAGATGGGCAAAACTTCTTGCGTTGAAATGAGTATCAAATTAACATCTTCTAGCCCTGTTGTTTACAATCCATACAGGCTCTCGGAAAATCACAGACAAAAAGTTAAGGAAATAATTACTGAACTTTTGGAGAACAATATTATTCGAGAATCAAATTCCTCATACGCAAGTCCGATTATATTAGTTCCTAAGCCAAATGGGCAACACCGTTTATGCGTTGATTATCGGAAATTAAACATGATTACAATCAAAGAAAAATTTCCAATTCCTTTGATTGATGATCAAATAGATAAATTGAGAAATTTCAAAGTTTTCACGAGTTTAGATTTATATTCTGGCTATTATCAAGTGCCTATGGCCCAAGAATCCATTGATAAAACGTCCTTCATAACACCTGAGGGTAAGTTCGAATATTTGAGAATGAGTTTTGGCTTATGCAATGCTCCATATGTTTTTCAAAAACTTATGTCTAAAATACTTTCAGAAATTAAAACTGGCAATGTTTTTCCATATATTGATGACATAATTGTACCGACGGCAACGATTTCTGAAAATATTCAATTACTAGAAGACGTACTCAACGTTCTTCGAAAACATAACCTCACCCTCCAAATTACGAAGTGCAAGTTTTTTCAAAGTAAAATCACATATTTGGGAAAAAATATATCAGCAGAAGGCATAAGGCCTATAGAAAATAAAGTAACTGCGGTACTGAAAATAAATACTCCGCAAAATATAAAACAATTAAGACAGTTTTTAGGTCTTTCCGGATATTTCAGGAAATTTATAAAAAATTACGCCATTTTGGCAAAACCATTGACAATATTATTAAAAAAACGAGCACCTTGGAATTGGGGTGGACTACAAGACGAGGCATTAGAAAATATCAAGCAGAGTCTAATTAAGTGTCCAACTTTGAGAATTTTTGACCCATCACTTGGCACTGAACTCCACACTGACGCAAGCAGTTTGGGAGTTGGGGCAATTTTGCTGCAACAACACAAAGATGGCTGGCACCCAATTGCATACTTCAGCAAGCAATGTACGTATGAAGAGAGTAAGTATCATTCCTATGAGTTGGAAACCATGACCATTGTATTTGCACTTAGGCATTTTCGAGTATATTTATTAGGACTCTTCTTCATAATATATACTGACTGTCAAGCAATTAGATGCACAGCAACAAAAAAAGATTTAATTCCTAGAATTGCACGCTGGTGGCTAGAAATTCAAGAATTTGATTTTGAAGTTAAATACAGGAAAGCTGAAAATATGAATCATGTAGATTTCCTCAGCCGAAATCCGGTGAACAGCAATAACGATGACGTGATTACAAATAACATCATAAATCTCGATGAATCAGAATGGATAAAGGCTGTCCAGATTCAGGATGAGGAAATTCACAGAATATTCGATATATTAAATTCCCCTGAATGTCCAGAGAATAAAAATTATTTTCAAAATTACACACAAAAAAATAATATCCTATTTAGAAAGGTTGGTGACAAATTATTGTGGGTCGTTCCCAAAAGTTCAAGATGGTTGATTTGCAGGCTAAATCATGATGACGCAAATCATTTGGGCTATGAAAATACGTTAGAACGCATTAAACGTAATTATTATTTTCCTAAAATGGCAAAGTTTGTGAAAAAATATGTGAGTTCTTGCCTTAATTGTTTATACATGAAAAAACAATCAGGACCGACTCCAGGTCAATTGTTTCCTATTCCGAAAGGGAATATTCCCTTCCATACAATGCACTTAGATCATGTAGGGCCCTTTGTCAAATCAAGAAAATACAAAAATACCCATATACTGGTAATTGTAGATGGGTTTTCAAAATTTGTTTTTCTCGAAGCAGTTAAAAATACAAAAGTCAAATATGTCATCAAAGCTCTGGAAAACTTTATGTTTTTGTTCGGTGTACCAGAAAGAATAATAACCGATAGAGGATCTTGTTTTTCATCCGAGTCGATGAAAAAGTTTTGTCATGATTTCAATATTAAGCATATTTTGAACGACGATGACAGTGAAGATGTCTGGGATAGACATGTTAAAAAAATTCAGTACGGTTTAAATACTACTGTGAATAAAACTACTAAAGAGACTCCCTATAATATACTGATGGGAATGAACCCAAAATCGGTGGCTGATTCGAGAATTCTGAATGAAATCTCAGAAAGTGTTAAACGAAGAGATTTGAACAGTTTAAGAGAACAGGTTGAAGATAATATAAGTCAAGATCAGTTGAAAGCAAAAGAAAGATATGATAGGAAGAGAACAAAACCGAAGAAATTTAAGGAAAACAGTTTAGTTATGGTTAAGATTACAACCCAAACGCAGACAGGAAATAGCAAGAAATCACATCCGATATTCAAAGGGCCTTTTCAGGTGAAAAAAGTTATGTCGAATGACAGATATCTTGTTGAAGATTTGAGGGGAAATGGAAAGCATACTACTACGATACCTGTAGAAAACATGAAACCATGGATTGTCTTGAATGATGATCTCAGTCAGCCATTTGAGTAAGTTCCAATTTATTTGTGTGTTCCTATACCAGCCTTGAATGTGTCGCACGATTTTGGAACATAACCTGGTTTAGGTTTTCAAACCAGAAGCCTCCGTCTTACGAATTCAAGACAGATGAATTGAAATTAACCTGGTTTAGCTTTTCGAACCAGAAGCCTGTCTTACGAGTCCAAGACAGACGAATAAAAAAAAAAAATTACCTGGTTTAGGTTTTCAAACCAGAAGCCTGTTTCACTAATCCAAGACAGATGAATAACCTGGTTTAGGTTTTCAAACCAGAAGCCTGTCAGAAGACAGACGGACATAATGAAAAGTGAATTTGGTTTTCGGTTTGTAAACAAAAAGCCTGTCTTACGAATCCAAGACAGATGGAAAATTATTGATATAAAAATAAAAATCACAGCAATACAAATATTTGTTCTTATTAGGGGCCAAACTTGGCAAAACGCATTTGTTTTTCTGTAGTGTTTCAGACCGCTCAGAGTTCGAGGGCGAACCCGAACAGGATGGCCGAATGTAGCAGAGATCTGGGTACGCCGGACGTCAGCCTAGTCACGGTGTAAACCCATGAAGATGCTCGTCGGGAGTCGTAGGGCTTCGGGACAATGGAATGTGCGTCCAGCACGCGCCAACAGGTGATTGGTTGGATTCGAGAGAGGAGTCGAGACACGACAGCGAGTCGAAAATGTTGTTGATGAGTTGAATAGTTGTAAAACAGTGGTTGTTATTATTGTTATTTAGGTGGAAGGTGTTTATTACATGATTATAATTGACGACTGTGTTTAATAAAACCCCACAGCCCTTACAGAATATTTATTATTTTTCGTTCATGTGATCGTTATTGAGTCTAACCATTAGTAATTTCACACTTTTTATGTGTGCCAAACAATTCTAGGCCTTTCAAGATAATATTAAACCAGCTTTAATAATAATGTATAATTATAATAATTGCACAATTAAATTCAAAGCAACAACAATTGATTACATGATTATCATAGATTATTTCGTTCATAAATATAATACCTGCTAGCTTTGTGAAATATTCGTTAGAACATCGTTCTGCAGCATGCATTATTTGTTGCGTCCTGTCTTAAGTTAGACGCAAGTGTTTCTGACAGTTTGACGTTACCATTACCAACTTTATATAAAGAAATTAAGCGTGTCCTAATAGAGCATCTATTAGGACACGCTTCGATACGTATTTTGGAGCCATAATGAGTTCATTGAAGACGCAAAATAGAAACAAAAAGTTTCTTACAGATAGCGAATTTCTGATAAGGATATTCAATGAATTAAAAATGATAATCAAGTTGCCTTGTTGTCGATTCCATCTCAAAATCATGTCTATACGTTCTTCTGCTACACCATAGTTAAAAGCACCTTAAAGAAAAATTACGCTTTCTGTGTCAATCGAAATTTGTAACAGCCAATAGGTATAGATATAAAAATACCTTCAAGAATGCACCTGGGCTTTCTTTGAATGTTGAGTTGGTATAAACATCTCGGTATGCTCGCCCAGCTGCAGATCCACATTCGGGCGAAACATTGAGTCTAGGATTCATCGTCAATGCAATATTTTGGTCATATAAATCTCCCTCGGCACCGATTTGTTCCGAAGTACCTGTACACAATAACGAGATTATTTCAGGAAGGTAACTACAGTGTGTGTCCTAATTTTGATAATCACTACCTTCCACTTGAAATAGGATGTATCAACAATGCAAGAACATTGGGTAGAATTATTACTGATTGCATGGAATTGAGAAAGTGAATTGATGGAAAAATTAAGTGATCCACTTGAAACATACGAGTCTCATGTTCCATGTTGCAGAAAAAACTCATTGAGAATAAGAGTATATATTTTTTCCTTTGAAGGTTCATGATGCGACATCTACAGGGCGAAATCTAGACTCCTTATCAAAGATCATACCCATCAGCAAACACGACATAGCCAGCTGAGCTGGTAGTACAGCTTCATGTGATTCAAGATTATACAGCAGGGTGAGTCATTAGTACGGCAAAGTGAGATAACGACTTTACTGTTTGAGATAGATGAACAAAAATTTCAGGGATGATCTAAGATCATGAGCAGCATATTTTCGAATTATTTCGCTCCATACAGGGTGACTCAGAAATGCGTGGCGTATCAAAGTTATACTTTTTCTTATGGGACCCCCTGTATTTTTGTTCCTTTTTTTTGCATTCTCCTTTGTGAGCTGATTTTATCAATGCATCACATTTGGGGTCTAGCGAGAATGATTACAGAGATATAGGGTGTTCAAAATCGAGATATTTCAACTTTCGGATTTTTTTGCGTCGAAACTATTCATTCTTTGTCAAGACGGCTTCCATGTCCCTATCCCAACTTTTTATATACTGTCTACTGACATTTAGTTGGAATAGATACAAGGGTGATCAGAATGCTGAATCTTGAACCACCCTGTATTTGTATGTCAGTAGATAGTAAATCAAAAGTTGGGATAGGGACATGAAAGCCGTTCTAACCAATAATGAATAATCTATTCGCGAAAATCACGAACCAATAGATGGCTCTATTTAACGTCAAATCAACGTCAAATTTCAAACTGAGTATGAACAACAAAAACATTGCCGTATGCACTCATTGCAAATTGGTTATTTCTAAATCAGTTTGCAAAATAGTGAATAATGAGTTGACTTCGTGAAATACGTACAAGGTTTCCAGTATGGAAAAAATTACTTTTTGTGCAGAGAAATTGCTATTTGGATGTGGATAATGGTGGTATTCATCATTGATATCACACTATAATTCCACAGTTTTCAAACATATGGAATGGTCGGAATGGTCCACTCAACACTTGCATGGACTGGAAGCAATCAGCTATTAAAAATAGGTATAAAGAAATAATTGAATTCATCAAGAAATATCACTGGCTTTTATGAAGGAGATGGAATTCTAGTGAAGGGGCTGGGAAAAGAAGATATGATAGGAAAGGCTGCTCAAAATGAACAATATTATTGATTTACATAAACAAGGATCTCCAGCAATTGAAGACTTGGAGTTATTCTCAAGATCAAATCATTGCAACCAACAAGGATTCTAACTGTGCTTCAGAAAATGTATATTATATTATTATAAGGTAGGTACTGGCTTCTTCATTGTAAACAATAAAAGTTCATGCAATAATTCGAGTTTTTTCATCAGGGAAAAATGAGGTTCTGGAATATGCACTTCAACAAATAAATTAGTTTCAAATAAAACACAGAAACTCAAAACAATGGTCGCCATATTTGTTGTTCATACTCGCAAGGCTTGTAAAGTTAGCCACCAGAGGCCGCACACTTCGTGATTTTCGCGAATTGGTTCGTGGATTTTCGCGAATTCTGTGGAGTTTCTATCATCCTGGTGCCACTGACCATTCGGTCTCAGAACATCGCGTGCCGTGTGGTGAAATGTCTGGAATGTTTGACAAATAAGGGTATTCGACATACATCATATTGATTTTGTTGTAATAAAAATTTCATCTACTGATTGAAAAGATGAGCCGACAAAAGAAGAAAAATGTGCACATAACTCATGGAAACATTCAGGAGTCATCCTGAAATGCCTGTGAGAGGTCGTTCTATTGAATCCTGGTATAACAATCCCATGAAAATTTTCACTTTTTGGGACTTCTTCAGTACACATTCTGAAGAAGGTCAGTATGAAACATTCATCATCCTGGATGTCATCTAACGAATTCATAATTTCATGAAGAATGTCGCTAGGTATCATCTTCTCCAACAAATTTAATATAAGTTTCTACGGACTTTCCATTACCATATTCAATATTATGATGCTTACTGCATGATTCACTACAATATTCTCCATTAATAGATAATATCGAATAAAATCATCAGTTCCTAGGAAATCCTGTGAATCCAATTTGAATATCCAAAAATTGATATCGATATGATCTAAACACTTTGATGTTCTTTTATCGATAATAATTATGTTGATTGTATGATATTTTGATTGTATGTGGTTGTCACACGGTTGTCATCACATCAATGTAATTCTTCATTCTTTCCCGTTTTATTAGTTTCTACACAATTTCTACACCAGAGAATCACAAAAAAACGCGACTTGTGACTGCTATTTCGGACCCTTCTGGTCATTTTATGATTCACATTACGATGCCAAATGAAACTCGCAGTAATATATGCGACTCCCCATTCAACATACCATTTATTGGTACGGGTTTTCACAAGAATGTGAGGTTTCGCAGTGGATCTCTTAGTTGTTAGGCAGCCTCACAATTTCACCTAAATTTCAAGTTTCACATCCAATGAAATGAGACAAATATTGCGAATGTTCTGTGAAATAAAGAGTTCCCTGGTAATATCAATGATGTTTTCTTGTGATTCGCAATGTCACCTAGCGAGACATGAATGTGACATCTCAGGGATGTTTGTGTTTACTGGGAAGTTAATGTTCAAGTAATGTTGAGTTGATGTTGAGTTAATGTTGATGTAACGTCAAGTTAATTCAACATTGAGTTAATGTTGAGTTACTGTGAAGTTGATGGTTCAGTTGATTATGTTGAGTTGACATTGAAGTTGAATTAAATATCGATATTAATAATACTACATGATAATATATCACCTTCATGTGATCGAATATGATACCTACTCAGGTCTCATAAACACTCAAGATGCATATAAAATGATCATTTGTGATCGTGGAAAAAATAGTGTACAAAACTCGTTGGAAAAAGCATTTCCTTCCCTCGTTTCGTTTCCGCACTCGCCGCTCTGTGGCTCGTGCTAAACGTTCACTCGGGCGAAATATGTCACTATCTACAGAAGTTTTGTAATATACTATTACTGCATCGATGGAACGACGATGGGTATTTTTAATTTTTTCACGATTACTATAGTCCAAGAGCCGTCTGCAGATTTCGCCCGTCATATCTAATAACGAAATCATGTATATACAGTGTGTCCCACTTACCATGCTCACCATGGGTATCTTTTTAACGGTGAGAGATATGAGGTCGGTTAAATGACACCAAATGTGGAGTTTGTCAAGGCCAACTATAATGTGAAAACATATTTTGATAAAATGTATTCGTTTTTGTTTTATACGCAAAAAACAGATTTTGATCGTTTTCATGTCTCCTCCGTAACTTCTTTATTCATGAAAATATTCAAATTGGAATTTCACATTCTCATGGCAGTTTTTCAAAGTGATTTCGAAAAAAATATGAAATTTATACCAACTCTTCTAGAATTTGAGATATCAGCACTAACTTTAGTTTTTCGAATGTAGGTCATAGCTCACTATGACTTAGTTACAAATAACTTTTTTTCCTCTTTCAGATGATATGTCACAGTAATAGTTTTGTGTTGATAACAACAGAGTTATCGTCATTTATACAAAAACAAAAAAATATTTGGAAGCCGCCATCTTGAATTTATGAATTTTAACAAAAAAATCATGATCTTCGACCTCAAAAACCCCCACTTACCAATTTTGAATGGAATCGGACCAAATCTTGTCCGCCATCTTGGAGCAGCCATTTTTTTTCAATTTCAACAAAAATTCCATAACTCCGATCAACTTGAAATTTGGCAGGTGTTCATAATTTCGGTGACATTATGGAATTTTTGTTGAAATTTAAAAAAATGGCTGCTCCAAGATGGCGGACAAGATTTGGTCCGATTCCATTCAAAATTGGTAAGTGGGGGTTTTTGAGGTCGAAGATCATGATTTTTTTGTTAAAATTCATGAATTCAAGATGGCGGCTTCCAAATATTTTTTTGTTTTTGTATAAATGACGATAACTCTGTTGTTATCAACACAAAACTATTACTGTGACATATCATCTGAAAGAGGAAAAAAAGTTATTTGTAACTAAGTCATAGTGAGCTATGACCTACATTCGAAAAACTAAAGTTAGTGCTGATATCTCAAATTCTAGAAGAGTTGGTATAAATTTCATATTTTTTTCGAAATCACTTCGAAAAACTGCCATGAAAATGTGAAATTCCTATTTGAATATTTTCATAAATGAAGAAGTTACGGAGGAGACATGAAAATGATCAAAATCTGTTTTTTGCGTATAAAACAAAAACGAATAGATTTTATCCAAATATTTTTTCACATTATAGTTGGCCTTGACAAACTCCACATTTGGTGTCATTTAACCGACCTCGTATCTCTCACCGTTAAAAATATACCCATGGTGAGCATGGTAAGTGGGACACACTGTATATCCCAAAGGCATGTAAAATCATTGTAGTTTATTTATCGAACGGCACCTGATGTGCCAATCACTATCCTTAGCTAAATGATTGAGAAATTGCACTGTCCTGTGCGCAAATTTGCACTCGATTTCGCGATTTGATAACGACATAAGAATTATGCCATCCGATACCAATTTAATGGTAGATTTCAAAAACCTACCTGTGCCACCCCTCAAATTCACGGCACAGCGATTTATTTGCTGCCATTGTTCCGGACATACTTACTTCCTTCATGTGATAAGAAGTTGAAACAAGTAGCGAATAAGAGGGGATATCACCTTTGCGAATATCCAAATGTGCTGCGACTCAAATAACTGATCTAACTGGCAGAGCGTCAATACTTATAGAATATTTCGCCCCCCTTCTAAAGATAATATCCGATGGACCAGTGTGAAACTCAACATGATGCTCTCGCCTACTAACTACCTAACTAGGTTTCCATTTAGATCGACAATGTGTAGTGTGAGCACCACAATGTTTTTATTTTCGTTTTGGACATAATATACAGGGTGATTCACATAAGAACCGACATAGAGCAGGGGCATGTAGGAGGTCCCAAAATATGGCAATTTAACGCAACTCACCTCTATACCAAGTTGCTTCCCTAAGGAGTTATAGGCTTTGAAAGTGAAGTTATAAATTTTGAAAAAAATCAATATCTCCGTTATTCTTGAACTTAAAGTAACCAAAGTTGGTACACTTTGTGTATGTATTTAGGGCGTTACTTGACAGTAACTAGAGCTTAATTGAAATTTGTAAAGGGGGTATACCGGGTGGCGCACCATTAATATTCAACTGAATTTTGTTAACCCCTCGATGGATTTCAAAAATATTTGCTTTGTTGTGTGGGCAATTCAGTTCTAAAACTTTTCTTGGTCGGGTAATTTTTCGAAAAACCTCATCATTTTCATCAAAAACTTGAATAACTGAAAACGCGCGCTCTAGGTGTGTTATTTAAAATCATCGAAAATTCAAAAATTGGCTATAAAAATAAGCGTACAACAAGAAAGTAGGTCATTAATTGTGATGAGTAGAAATTGGCTGGTAAATTATTATTTAGATACGTAACAAAATACGTAAAGTAAGGACAGATACTGAAATGTGAAAAACTGGGATTAACAACTAACCAAAATAAACACAAAAAACTTAAACAACAACCAGAACAAATAATTGTTTATCGATAAAATTCTCAATTGTACAACTTACTTGCTTCATTGTCAAGTTTGACGTTTATTTTCATAGCCAACTTTTGAATTTTCGATGATTTTAAATAACACACCTAGAGCACGCGTTTTCAGTTATTCGAGTTTTTGATGAAAATGATGAGGTTTTTCGAGAAATTACTACACCAAGAAGAGTTTTAGAATCGAATTGCCCACAAAACAAAGCGAAGATTTTCAAAATCCATCAAGGGTTAACAAAATTCTGTTGAATATTAACGGTGCGCCACCCGGTATACCCCCTTTACAAATTTCAATTAAACTCTAGTTACTGTCAAGTAACGCCCTAAATACATCCACAAAGTGTACCAAATTTGGTTGCTTTAAGTTCAAGAATAACGGAGATATTGATTTTTTTCAAAATTTATAACTTCACTTTCAGAGCCTATAACTCCTTAGGGAAGCAACTTGGTATAGAGGTAAGTTGCGTTAAATTGCCATATTTTGGGACCCCCTACATGCCCCTGCTCTATGTCGGTTCTTATGTGAATCACCCTGTATATCATTTCGTTATCAGATAATGGTAGAAATCTGCAGCCGGCTCTTCTACTACTAGAACAGGTAGTGGTTGAACGATGATTCAACGATATAGATACTCCAAAGTCGTTATTGAAATAGCAATGGACAAGTTGATTGATGTGTTTTTCATAGTTTTTCCATTTTGTTTTTCTACCGTTTTGCGTCATTATTCGCGATTGTTATATGAAGTGAATATGAGCTTTGAGTATATTCAACTCTTGTTATTAATTAGATGGAAAGTTGTAATATGAACATTATTCTAGTAACAATAAACTGAAATTCTTCTTCGAGAACATCCAGACAGTCGATGAAGTACTTATCTTGATAATATGAATATATTTTTGATATAGATTATTACCTCTGACAAAGAAGAATGATTCCTCAGCGTTATATCCAGTCATCAGTGGCACATGATTGAAATGTCCCCTCAATAAAGAAGTGTACATCGGCTCAGTTATGAACGCATTGGCGTAATTTTTGTCTTCAATTATCGGTAACCACACGACTATCCTCGAAATTATGTTGATGCTGTATCTGTCATTAGATACCTATAAAAAGCAGGAGGAATAAGAGAGTCTGCCAAACTTGTCAAAACACTAAAATAGTATATTATGTAACAAGTATTATAAACGACCTTCTAGGGTAAATGTCCACTTATCATGCGATGGGTTTTTTTCGAAATTTTTTTTGGTACTGTCATAGATTATTAATCTATGGTACTGTTCAAGTAAATCTTTATTATTGGCTTGGGTATAATTGTATAGAACCATTTATTCAAGTATGCATATTTTTTCGCTCCATCAATTATCGCGCATGCTAATTGGTTTCATCTACCTTTGCGCAGCAGGACAAAATTTCTCTCTCATTCGATTTGCTACCATCGTGCTTATCATGTGCTTCAGCTGCAATCATCATATTACGTATTTTCGTGAAAATGTGAACAAACCGTCATTTATCGAGATATTTTACGAAACAATTTGAAATTTCACCCTCCTTTGCCACCCATCTTGGATATTCATTTACAACTACTTGTTCTTTTTTTCCATCACTTCATATACTCACGTTGTACTTCAATAACACATTTTATTTCCTGAAATCAACAAGAAGTATGATTTATTTGGAATTTTTTCATATGCAAATGAGGTAAACAATAGTTTGGTTTTGACATTTGACCTTTTTTCGACAAGAATGGTCGTCAGCAGGTATCTTGGTGTGGTTGTTTACCTCATTGATGAAAAGAGAAGGACAAGTAGTTGTTGAATGAATATCCAATCATATCCAATATGATGGGTGGCAAAAGATGGTGAAATTTCGAACTTTTTCTCAAAATATCTCGATAAATAGCGGTTTGTTCACATCTTTATTGTCAAATTCGTGTTTTTCAGACGAAAATGCGTAAGTATTTACAAAAAAAAAAAAAAAATCAAAAAAAAAAATCGGATGATAAGTGAACTTTTACCACTTTCAGTAACGATTGTTTGATGAACGAGTGTCTAGAAGAGTTTATAAACGCGTTACATACTAAACTTTTTCACATCTCTTCGAAAAGATCCCATAATTCCGAAAATTAGATTAACCTACCTGCTAACCTACAAAATAATTGGAAGGAAATGGGAATCGAGAACATATTACATAAAACTATGCAACTGCATGCAACCAACGAGACTATTATAAGTGATATTGATTATACAGTGTGTCCACCTTAAGGACTTACCATCCCTGTAAAATCGTTATTATCTGACCAATTTCGAAAAACCTTTTTTTTGTTGGATAGGTATTTGAAATGTCCATCCAACGAGAGAGTGATCTAATTTTTGGACTGTTATCGTGGCCAACTGCGACAAATTTCAATGACCCATATTCCAGAAAGTACTACTAGGGATTTTTTTCCACGAAACTTGATGATGGATTCTGAATCAGTACCACTTGAAATATACCTGTACCGATTTTCATCATCATAAAACACAGGGTGTCCGAAAAAACAAATCATCATTTTCTTCAAATAGGTGATCAGCAAATGTAGTTCTGTGGTTTTTCTAGAAAGAAATAATCACAAATTACCATTGAGGATTATTTCAAATATACCTGTACCAATTTTCGTCATTTGAATATACAATGTGTCTGAGAAAAAAATCAAAAAGGATAGGTGAGCAATATTTTTCATCCTGATAATTCTTCACTCAAAATAAAAAGATGAAGATGATCATTAAACATAGGGTGTCAAAAAATCGAATTAATATTCTTGTTGAGTTGATGAAAAAATATTACCTACTTTTTCTTTTTAATTGTTTTCTCATACACATCGTATTTATGAATGATGAAAATCGGTACAGACATGTTCATAGTGATCCTCAATAATAATGTGTCATCAATTATTCTCAAATATAGCACAATACTACATTTTCTGATCACCTATTGAAAAAAAAACATAATTCGTTTTTTCGGACACCCTGTGTTTTATGATGATAAAAATCAGTAAAGGTGTTTTTCAAGTGATCGTGATTCAGAATCCATCATTGTTTCTCGTGGAAAAAATCCCTGATAGTATTTTCTCAAATATGGGTCAATAAAGTTGGTCGCAATTGGCCACGATTACTGTTAATGAGTAAAATCACTCTCTTGTTGGATGGACATTTCAAATACCTATCCAACAAAAAAAAGTTTTTTGAAATCGGTCAGATAATAACAATTTTGCAGGGGTGGTAACTCCTTCAGGTGGACACACTGTAGATGTGTCCAGTCTATCATACTATGGACTGGGCACATGCATTTGTGAATAAGAAATTTTCATCTGACGTAGAAGATGAAAACTCTTCGATTCGCTGGGGTTCAAAGTTTTCGATTTCCCAGGTTTGTATCCATATTCTGATTGCATAATTTTAGCTCACATAAATATTGTGTTTCAAGTTTATTGTCATGCTTAGCATAGAATAAATAATTGCCCACAAAGATGAGAGCATTTTTACACAACAAAATTCGAAAATGACAGTTGACAGTTCTTACAAATTGACAGGCCAGACAAGACTCGAACGACTGGAGGTGTGTTTACAAAACTGTGTTGCCATGGTAATGCGATTAAGAGATTGTGTTGCCATGGTAACGTGTTTAATTTTTTTAATAAATCACAGATAGTCAATCCATGATCAATCGATCAATTAGTTATGTGAGTAGAAAAAAGTATAAGAACGAAAGAGAAAGAAAACATTTTTCTAATACGCGAGCTATTTTTTGTTCTACGCGAGCTATATATGAATATATACAATTTTTTCATGTTATCTGTTGTTCATCTGAGAATATTCCTTTTCAATACTTTCACCCAATCAGGGGGTTCAAACTCGAACGATGAAAACTTGTTATTTTTGTAGACCTTCAATCGCAGATTCGTGATTAGGTTCTCTCAATTCAGAATTTCTTTCCACGTCCTGTATGATGAATATCAATTTGTCATAAAAAACAAATATACTTACATTTGCATATAATATGTTTTCTGCTGGAGAACTTTGAAGTAACTCAAGAAGATCTTTAGAGTTCTTTGATTTGAAATTTGTGTCTAGAGCAGCCCCCATTTTGAATGCGAAGTGCTTCGGGTCATCTTGGTATGCATATGGAGACAGTGGTGATCCACTTTCCAGAATGAATCCACTCGCAAGACCTGGAACGAAGCAGAAAATATACAATGTGGAAACCGATGATGGTATTAAATCTTCATATCCATAACAGAAAAAGTTATTTATATGTATCAAGGGCTTGAAATAGGCTTTCATGGTCCGTGGCTGTCGCTAGGGCTATCATCACGCCAACCCAGACAGCACTGGATATTTCTAGAATATTCCCTGATTATGCTAAAAAGGAGGAGTACCTATACAGGGTGTCTGTAAAAGGTTGGGAAATGGCTCGACTGTGGACTTATGAAATAAAAACAATTTGATATAGGCCAACTTACCTATATCCAAAATCATCTCGTTGAGTTGGTACAAGGCGTTGAAGTTTTTTTTGGAAAAAATAATTTTGCTCATAAAAAGAGTATATATATATAGGCTGTGATCGATTTTCATAATTTTTGGAATGGCATGTTTTGTGACTGTAAGTCACGTTTTGAGATTTTTTTGATCATCATCAGTGACCTACAAGTGTTTCAAAGAACCATGTTGCCGTGCAAATTTGGTGATAACTTTTCAGAGGTCGGACTGGAAACTTCCAGTTTTTTTCCAGGAAGATATTACTTTCAGAAATATTTTTTGTATCGTGTTAATTTTTGATAAGTCTCGAGGTTCATTTGCAAATAAATAATTTCTGATATGACGATTACGTAAGATACGGTCTCACTCCTAATTTCACGCCCGTATTTTTTTTTATCGCTTGGAGCGCACAGGGAATCCCTATAATGTTCAAAGAACATCGTGCGTTCCTAGGGAGGATAGGGATAGGAGGTAGGTATTGGAATTTTTTTTGAACTTCTGGAGATGATATGTTGTTGGGAATACTTCCTCAGGCAATGAATTCCAGAGCCTAGCCGTTCTATGGATGAAGGAGTTTTGATAAAGTGCTGTTCGACATCTTTCGAGGTTGACAACGAAAGGATGTGCTGACTGGGCTTGTCTAGTTCGTCTGACTGGTATTGCTAGTGAAGGGATAATAGCAGAGATTTCCGAAGCACATTTCCCGTGGAAGTATCGATAGAAAAGTGAAAGGTCGCCGACCTTTCTACGGTGTTCCAATGATGTCAAAGAGTGAGTGAGTCTGGCGTCACCCACCAGGCGAATGGCTCTTCTCTGGATGGAATCTAAGAGCATCAGCGTATGTTTTGGTGCTGAACCCCATATGTGGGAACAGTATTCTAGAACAGGCCGTATCTGCGCTTTGTAGATCATGAGAAGCTGTTGAGGTGTAAAGTAGCTTTTCGCACGGAACAAGAATCCGAGTTTTTGTGAAGCAGCTTTTGCGATGGATCTGACATGATTATCCCATGAAAGAGTGTTGCTGATGGAAATACCGAGCATAGATATGGTGGGCTTGGTGGAGATGGTGGTGCCAGACATTACAATGTCGGGCATACTGAGTTCCGCTTTTCTAGAGAAAATACAGGCTTGAGTTTTGGTGGCGTTGAATTCAACTAGGTTGTTGGTTCCCCAGGCTGTGATTTCAGCAAGGTCTTCATTGACAGCATTGACCTGCCTGCGCCGTGAGTTCTTAGTTTCCTGGGAAGAAATGGGAATTCTGGATGAGAAAGCAGTATGGAGGGTACTATCATCTGCGAAGCTGTGGATGGGGCAAGTTGTTACTCCCAACAGATCATTGATATGAAGCAGGAATAATGTTGGTGCCAAAATTGATCCTTGTGGAACGCCGGAATTGATGCCAATGGTATCAGACGATACACCGTCCACCACCACATGAAGCGATCTGCCTGAAAGAAAACTCGATAAGAGATGGCATAGCTGAGGTGGTAAGCCATAATATGTTGGTAGTTTGTGGAGGAGTCCTTCGTGCCAAACACGGTCAAATGCTTTCGATATGTCCAACGCGACAGCTAGAGATTCCCCGTATTTTTCCAATGAAGCTTGCCATAAATGGGTGACGTAGGCAAGTAGATCTCCAGTAGATCTTCGGTGGTGAAAGCCGTATTGTCTATCATCGATGATTCCTGATCTCTCCAGATATTTGATAAGTTCAATGTTGATGGCTTACGTAATCGTTGGGTTAGGATCCTGAAATTTGCTGGAGCGAGAGTTATACAGAAAATGTACTCCTTGACCAAGTGGGGTAATCTTCAGTGATATACACTGCTCGCCAACAGCAATGAAACCACCCAAATTTCTGGAAAATAATTAGGAGGCAGAATAGGTTGAATATCACTTCGGATTCGGAATCAGGACGCCCAATTCACTAACTATTTTTATTTTTCTTAAAAAAAATCCAGTTCTGAAAATTTTATTTTTGACTCACTCTTCACATCCCCGTTTCTTACGTAATAATCGAGTTAGGATTGTTAAATTTCCAGGAGCAAGAAATATTCCAAAGATACAGTCAATGACCAATTGAAATTACCCTCAGTGATATACACTGCTCGCTAGCAGCCATGGAACCACCTACACCATCATATTAGCAGACAAGATTGGTTGGAAATCACTTCGGATTCGAGAACAGAAAACAAAACGTCTGATTCACTAACTACTCATATTCCTTCTGAAAAAAATTTCAGTTATGAAATAATAAATTTTGTTTCATTTTTCATGGAAGCACCCGAGTGTCTTACCTAATTATTGATAAAGGAGTCTGAAATTTTTAGGTACAAGATCAATGATACACACTGCTCGCCAGCAGCCACAAAACCACCGACATTCCAGGAAGAAAAATTTATTGAATCGGAAAATTCACTTAATGGTGTGTTTTCATGAGGGATGATGAAATCTGAACTAGTACAATCGAATATATTATCAGGAGTGATCCGATGGATCAGAAATCATGACGGGTGTCATTGAAATGAATTATGAATGAATGAATCCGTTAATAGTATGAGGGGAATCGCATTTCCACTTCTTTTTCCTATACCTGGCACTGGCGCGGTATTTGCTATTAGGGCTGATACCTGGTCCAAATGAATTCATCGATTCAATAGAATACACAAATGGGTCACTCTGTGGTTGTATTTATATCGAAACTGCAATTTGAAGAGCATCCTTGAAAATTGAATAAACCTGATCTGTGAATGTAGGTAGAATATTCTCACCACACGGATTAATTGTTGCATTGCATACATATGGCACGGCAACCAAAGTTTCGGGTACAGTATTGAATTCGTGCCTGTAGTATCTGATGACATGATGCATGTCAAAACAAATTGTAACAAAGTAAAGTAATCTGAGGTCTTGCTTCTACCTACTTACTAATATTATTATATTGAAGGTATTATAATAATCTGCTAATTAAGTCACATTGGTGATTACTTTACATATTTATTTTAGTTAATTCTTTCGGTTTCAGGAAAAATAGCATATTTCATTCGAATCAAAAGTGAATTTGTTTGACTCGCAAATTTTGCTTTCTCTCGGCTTTGCGAGACGCTCCGCCTCGCAAATGATAAATTCGCTAGTCAAATAAAGTGCCACTTTTGATCCTAATAGAACAAACTACTATTCTCAACTTCCAAACAGAAGGCAAATATCAACTTCGAATTTTCAAAGCGAACACCATGTAAGTACATGATTAAATTGTCCAGAATGACTATCATATAAAGAAGTTGTGTAACGTTTATCTGAGCAGAGAATTATCACTATGTTTGTACATTAAAAAAGTACGCTCCACCTCCACCATTAATGATTTACAAGCTGATCTTTACTTACCACTTACTTTTTTGCTTAGTTGTAAATATCCAGCAGAAGTTGATCCAGCACTCTCACCCATTACAGTGACTTTCCTCCTGTCTCCCCGGAACAAGTGGATGTTGTTTGAAACCCATCTTAATGCTAAAGCTTGGTCCTTCAGACCAATATTACCAGGAATGACTTCGTCAGCAGTTGTCAAGAAACCTAAAACAATAGTTAAAGACGTTACCTACTTGGCAAGCAAGCGGCTAGAGCTTGATTCCAAATCATTTCTATGGTGTAATAGATACATACAGCGTCTTTCAGAAAGTTGCGATATATAGCTGATGGCATCACATGAGAAACACTTTTCAGATTTTGCCCGATTATTTAGAACAATATTTTGTAAAAATCAGTGATTAATTATAATGGGAGAACTAAGTGTAAGAGATAAAATTGAACTTGTGCGTCTTGTCGGAGATAATGCTTTTTCAGCAAGAGAAGCTGCCAGAGAATTTCATAACAGACATCCTGATGAACTTCCAGTGAGTAGCAGTACTGTTAATACTGTAAAAACAGAAATAATCCACGCCCTGAGTATAGGAATGATGCGCGAGTATTGCAATATTTTCGGAATAATCCTCATTCAAGCTTGCGAACGGCTAGTCTGGACTTGCATATTCCTAGAGAAAATATCAGGAGATGCCTTGTAAGGAATAAAATCAAACCATTCAAGCCAAAAGTTTTACATATTCTGGAACCGGGAGATGAAGGACGAAGATTAGAATTCTGTTTTTGGGCTCAGGGAGAATATCTGAATGATAACGAAATTTTGTTCAGTGACGAAGCTACGTTCACTACAAACGGAGTTGTCTCGTCCCAAAATTCAAGGTACTGGTCTACAGAGAATCCTAATTGGGTTATCAATGCAAAAAGGCAGTATTCTTATGAAATAAATGTGTGGTGTGGAATACTCCATGATAAGATTATCGGTCCTTTTTTCATTGATGGTAATCTGAATAGAAAAATATCGGTGGTTTGGTCGGAATAAAGTCCTTTCATTCACTGGCTGCCAAGATCCTCGGACCTGACACCACTGAATTTTTATTGGGGTATTGTGAAACAAAAAGTTTTTAAGTCTAGACCGCAGTCAGTAGAAGAACTCCGTATCAGAATACCTGCAGCTTGTGCAGAAATCACGCCAGTGCAACTGAGAAAAGGTATATTGAATATAAGAAGATATGATAAATGCATTGCACTGAATGGCGGATTGGTTAGAACAACAAGAATTTGATGAACGTTCATTCGTATCTCTAGCTATAATAGTTATTGTTTTTAATTGTTTCATTCTTTCCATGGGTTTCTTGATCAGAATAAATATGGTTCATTCATTTCTCTCATTTGCCACATAATCATCAATGATTACTTTTTATTTATTTCAGTTTTCATTTCATCATAACTCGATTTTTGATTTGGCCACAAATTATTAATATCGATTTTTTCATGAAATTTGGTATACAACCATTTGAGGGGGTGCTGAATCCAATGGTGATTTTAAATTTTTCGTAAAACAATCGCTTATACGATTTCTTCATTTTTATCCTCTAAAAATAAACGCAGTAGGCGTTGGATTTTGTAGAAATATGAATATGTTTCGTCCCAAAGTACAGTTTTTCGAACTCTACAATTCAAAAAAAAGTTCGTCGAAATCGGTGGATTAATACAAATATTATTGAGGTGTCCCGCTTTCAAGTGGGTCACACCATATGTAATTATTCTGTTCTTACTCCTAAATATGATAATTCAACAAAAACATACAGGTTGTTCATTGGGGTAAGTCGGTATAAAATTAATACCATTTATAGTTGCTTGTTCGGTTGTTGTAATTCATTTACCGAAAGGTCCAAGGCGATAATTGATTGTAACAACAACGATATTGTGGTCCATGAAGTATTTAGGATCATAATATTCAATAGCACCCGAACCATAAAAGAATCCACCTCCATGAATCCAAAACAGTACAGGTAGAACATCTTCTCCACTTCCTGGTTTCTGAAATTAATTGATTTAATGAAAATGAGCCAAACTATAAAGAAAAGAGAAGATAATAATATATCGTATATAGGGCATAGGCCGCATATATACAGGGTGTATTTAAATAACACCGAAAAAATTCAAGGGGTGATTCCTTATGATATTTTAGAAAATAAAGTTCACATAAACATGTGTCCTAACTTGCTTCGTTTTCGAGATACAGGGTATCAATATTTACATGGAAACACTTTTTTCTATTCATTTCTCAATTGTCTTTCCATCAATTTCAATAAAACGTTGTGGTTTTCTTAATAGTGATATGCGGCATCTTCTAGTGCAATCAGATTCGAAATTATATATCCAGTGGCGTCACAGTGTGTAAATTTATCGACATTCATGGTGAATGTCATTGGGTTTTCTGTGTTTCATATTTTTATCAGATCGAACTATTGAAATAACAGCTTTTTCATCCTTTGTGTGATTTTTGTATCTAGTTTAGTTTTTGAGGAAACAATAAAAAATCGATTCAACTCCAAATTTTAATTTAGGTGTTTTCAAGACTTCCATTGAGATTACTCAATGACCCCAATTAGAATAATTCTGAAATTTTGAGGCTTTCTCAATCTCCATCCATACTGGAATTTGGCACCATGAAACCTTATACAGGGGGGCTATAAATAAAACAATTAATACTTCCAACATCCACATCCTGTATCTCAAAAACGGAGCAAGTCAGGACACATGTTTATATGACATTCATTTGCTAGAATGTCACAAAGAAACACCCCTTGAATTTTTTCGGTGTTATTTAGATTCACCCTGTATGGTGTGGATGAAACTTGCTCAATTCGAATTAGAAGTGAGAGTATCATGAAGTTAATACTCGTATGTGGAACAATACATTTATTGATGATAATAGACACACAAATACTTTCGATTTTGAGAAATAAATCACTTTGCTTGAAACCACACAAGTGCATATAGTGCATAGTTACACAAAATATATTCAGTTTTCCATAATCATCAATAAAACAAGTTATATATGTTAAGATGAATTCATGAATGAAATAACAAAAATTTTCAGTGTACCTATTGCCTAAATGGCGTGAAATTATATTATGGTTAGCAGTGTCCCTTATATGAATTCAAGTTGATCATAAGTGCTTTTTTGAATTGATGTTTTCACAAAATTGGTCTGAATTTTTCGATTTAAACTAATAGTGAATGCCTTTTACGGTTTTGACTAAAGTTAAGTGTGGAGTATTACTTATTTCTGAATATGAAAATATATGACATTTATGACAGCTTGCTGCTGGTAAGTCATCATCGTTCTGTTATTCATCAAGATCAAACTACGAATGAGGAAGCAAAATACGAAAATTCGATTTTTCGGTCTTGTCCAAAATTGGATTTTGCCATTAAATCTTGATCATGTACGTCCTCATAGGGGCACGAACCCCTTTACAATTATCCTGACCCTCAACCGGTGCTTTCGTGCTTTGCACTATGATTTTATTCAAAGTTTTTTCATAATATTTTTTTCATTCCCACGTGAGTAAATTCTCAATTTCATATATTTTTGACCTTTGATTTGTAAGTATTAAGGCTGATGATGGACACATGACTGTCCGAAACATGTTCCCCTACATAATTTTCCGATTATTGAACGTTGTGGAGATGATTTTGTGTTTTCTTACTCTTGCATCACTACACTCCACTTAGAGAAAAGTATGGACCTCTACATAAGATCAAAAATTCGAGATAATTATTTCAACCAATGGAAAACGTTCAAATGAGTTGATTAACAATATTATCAGATATTTTCATTTTATTACCCTCATAACTCAAACGTGGATCACTCTGTATATTTGGTATTTGCTCATGAATGTGGCAAATTGAGTTTGAAAATGGACCTGAGTAGTTATCCCGCTACTATAGCCAAGCCGCTCCCCTCCACCTTTCCCCAAACCACGTGACCCGACTAGCCAATCAGAGGCTAGCCACGCCCACCAAAACTTCACGGAACACCACTGAAATGTCACGGAACACCACGGAAATGTCACCGAAACGTCACGGAACACCACGTGACATTTCCGTGGTGTTCCGTGACGTTTCAGTGGTGTTCCGTGACGTTTTGGTGGGCGTGGTCTCCAACCAAATGCTGGCCTCTGATTGGCTAGTCGGGTCACGTGGTTTGGAGAAAGGTGGAGGGTAGGGGCTGGGCTATAGTGGCGGGATACCTACTGAGCTGTTTCAGGAAATTCCTCAGAAATGGAGAGTTTGGCTGAAAATTGATTTATTCGGTACTTCACGGAAGCACGCGTATAATAAATTCAACTTTTGAATGTGCTTCACTTGCGAAGTATCATTGAGACTCAGAGAGGTTATTAGTTTTGCAAAATTGTTTGGAATTGATGCCTTCGATAATTTGTGGAGTAAAAAGTCATTTGAGTTTGGCAAACTATAAGTTGTTTTTGGATATGTAAAACTCATGATTTGTTATGAAGGAGTTGAAATAACACTTATTAATTGTAATCATCCCCGAAAATAACTTCGAAAAAACAAAAAGATATAGGTATGAATTATTTTTTACCCTTTTATAATCCCGATTACTCAATTCACTGATATCCTATTCGAGAAATATTCTCCAAAAATATTTTCAAGATTATTAAAATCTTAATCGTAATCGCGATCGTTAGATAGATTAGCCGATTTTTTTGATTGATTGATTTGATAGGTGAAAATGAGGAAAGAAAACTTCAAAAATGAATATTCAACAATAGTTTCAAGCAGATGATATAAAAGTTTCAATATAAAAATCTCAACATGAGATGCCTGAGTGAGACAATAAAATCTTACCACAGGTGTATATACATTGAGGTACAAACAATCTTCGGTCATATTCATCTTAGACGGAACAGGTGTTATAGCTATAGCCTTATTTTGCATGCAGACTTTCGTATTTTCAGACGTGTTCCGAATCCCTTCCCAATCTTCGGCTTCTTTTGGCTCCTGAAACATGTTTCATTCTAATTTCACTTCTAGGAACATAAGCCGGTCCTGAATAATTGAAATGTGCTCTATACAGTCTACACTCTATATGTAAGGGTACGAACAAAAATAGTGAAGGATTTCTCTGATATGCAAACTTTATTCGCATGAAAACCTCTTTATTTTTCAAATAGCAGGCGAGTGGACTATTTGTTTTTATTTCTTAAATAGAATCATCACTCAAATACCTTTCAATTTCATATTTTTCAAGATTTTTTTTGATCGAATTTAGGTGCTGAAAACATCAATAATGCCACGGTAATTTTCAAACGACTAGAAATTTATCGCCAGTGAAATCAACATTTTTTCTGAGGTAAGAAACAATTCCATCTGTTTTCTCGACAGAATTTCAGTGGAATTGTCATACTCATTGCGGAAATGAGTATAAATATTTTTATAAGAGAATGCATAGTTTGGTGCTCTAATTTTCATTGGCTGTGTGTTTTAGTCATTATATTCCATACTGTGGTCCCAAATCATGTAATGAGATGCATGATCAACATACTTATCGAAATAGGGTGGTCCCCAAAAAACAAATATGTCACTAAAAAAATATCCTTCCGAACGGGAAATTGTTTAAATTCTTGAAAAATTGCACAACTCTGATCATCATCCTGTAGAATCCAATTCTGGAGAAATGCCATAACAATTTCCAAAGGTTCTATAGACAATGACACGAACATTCAGGAACTGAAAAAAAAAATTGAAAATTGGTTGAAGCAGTCGAGTTTGAGTCTTGAATGAAGTCTAGAGTAGGTAATAGTATTCATGTATTTCAAAAATAATCAAATTGACCAAGAGTAAGGAGTAAAATTTTGTGCTTCATAAGTTACCACAAGAATGATATATTCTAGGTGATTTATTCATTCCGCATTGAAATGGGAACCGTGCCTCTGCCAGCCAAGAGTTTTCGCTTAATTACGCTACGAATTTCGAAAATGTGCCAAAATCGACCTAGAAGCGCCTCAGGTGTTTTCGGAATCCTCCTTTGGGTTGTTAACCCCGACTTACTACTCAATCTAGATTGCTAGCAGTCATATCGGAGCAACCCGAAAGGGACAGTAGGGTCAGTTGCTCGCCTGAAAACGTTTCTGCTCAATACGCAGGAACCGCCAAGCTGTCGTTCATGACTTTGAGGTGGTATCAAAAGCAACCTAGCACCCGTTTTATTCATATGCGACGGCAAGGTGGATGGTGTCGGCTTGACGATTTCATCTTATATCAGTGGACGGCTCAATGAAACCAAAATATCAAAATCATGTGTTGATATTAATTTTTTCATTTCATTTTTGCCATCCTAGGAAATATGTAGTGGTTTGTTCTGTGGCGTAAGAATTCCGTGATTAATAATACTAAAGGTGTTTCTTTTCATCGGTGAGTTTGTGGGTAATGAATAATTCATCATTTTAATTTGCTTTCATCAGTTCAGCAAGTATTTAAATCAAATAGAAAAATTCATGTTTTGTAAATTCAAACAGCTGTGAAGAATTTGAGTTCAGGCGTGAGGTGCCATACCCGCTAATATATTTTTGATTAAAAGTTTACTCACTCAATAAGGACTCTAGAATTCATAAGGATAAGAGACATTGATGGGAGGGAGAATATGTTCAGAACATTTTACACAAGACAGGATTCAACGGAATAGCATCATTAATAACTGGTATATATATTTTTATATGTGTATGTGATTCACTTGAGATTATAAAGATTGTAGGTAATTATAATAATGAATAATATAAGTGTCAACATATTTTTCAGCAGATTGTTTCAGTAGATCAGTATATCAATATGAAAATCAGGAGATTCAATGAAAATTCAGTAAAACTGGCACCCCTGCAGCAAACAAACAGTATTTGCGGACGAAAAGTACTTGTCTTCGAAAATAGTCGGTTTTCGTTCGGAAATTAGAACGTAAAATGCGATTTTTGGTAGAGGTCAATATTAATTTTGCTGACACATATCAATCAGCAAAGTATTACTTTTCCTGCCTAGGCAGCAAAGTGATTATACTCAATGGGAATAAAACATTCGACGTAAACATTTATTAGCAATTATTACATAACACTTTTAACATTTTTCTCAATACAATAATCCATAAATCGTTTATAATTTCCTTCATATTTCATCCGAGACCTCTGGCAACAAATTCAACTCTAAATATTTTGCCACCTCCCTTATTTCTGGAGGAGTAAGTACTTCCAGGTCGCTATCACTGTCCATTATATAATGATTTAAATATACCGATATTTTTTCGTACAACTGTCAGACATTTCATGAATTGTCAAACTATAATTATTATGGACATTTCCATAGCAACCAACCATTCCAACAACTGCGATTTCTATCAAGTTTTATTCCAATTGAACACTACCGGAAAAATAAAGAGATTGTGGGAATTGTTATAATTTGCGAATATCCTCCTAAGACATTATGAACAATCGGAGAAAAAATTATATGTACAACTCGGCAGCAAACTAGATTGACTGACTTAGCTGAATTCCTAGCCTCGCTACGCTCGGCTATGATTTCAGCCTCGGCAGTCAATCTACTACTTTGCTGTCTAGTTAAACAAATAACTATTTTCGAATGACGCGGTTGAGAGGTCAACTTGAAAATCTTGAATGAATATTTGGTCATCGCATTTTCTCATTCTGCGAAAAAATCAATTAATAAATGAGTAATTGACAATACCGGGTTACACAAAATGAGATTTGACATTAAGATTGCACCTGTTTCGTCGCTTTGAACTCGAAGATGTGAAAATGTACAGGATGTTCCATTTGAACAAACGAGGTTACTGGCTTTTCCAGAGAAAACGGAAGTCGGTTATATCGGATTGTAATGTGATCAAATGCTAAATGATTGCCTATATATAACTATACCTAATTTCAGAAAAATCTGTTTTTAGATAATGATTTTCTTGCGATTAACGCGTCATATCTATCACGATACGAAAAATTGGTTCATGAAAAGCAATTTTAGCAACACTTCTCGCGCTTTTTTTATGTAAATAATAAGTCTATGCATGCATTGTTCAAAATCGTTGAATTTCGGAGCTCATTTCAAACGTAACGTCATAGCCGCACTCAGGCGATACGTCGAATAAATGGTAACGTCAGTTTTTATGCTGTTTCGTTATTGGTCAGATAATCTTAAATTTCCACTCATGAAGCAAGGTTATCAAGTAATCAATTATAATCATGTTATCAAAAAGATGCTCGAGTCCTGTCGTGAATAAAACATAATAGGAGGAACTCATGACGTTATAGTTCATTCTCGACTTTTTCGAGCAACCAGCATGTCCAAATACTTCTTATTACAAAATATCATGTGATTGTTGGAGACTTGGCAACATTGTGCTGAATGCTGAGAACTGACAAGACCACGCCCACAAGTCGTGCGCGGGGTTGTCACATTCACCGATTCAAATGTTTTCTAGTGTGGATTAATATAATTATCATCTACACTAATTTATTATAAGCAATAATGAGCCACAAACATAAGGGAACATTTTGGAGACAACTGAATTTTTGTTGTTAATTAGGAATATTACCAATACTCAATTGAGGATTTATGAATTATTGTGAATGACTAATATTTCGGAAGTTCCCAATAGTATTTCAACACATGGCAACTTTGCTATGGTCTGCCCCTACTTACGCAATCGTGGCGTCAGTTTTTAGCATCTAAAAATCGACTGAAAATTCTCAAAAGATGAGAAAATGAAAGGTATTTGAGTGACATTTCGGACATCCTATATATTTATTCGCCATAAAGAGTTTCAATTATTCACTGAGCCGGTGGATACCTATGTATAACTTATCCCAGTGTCATAGTTTGATTTGCTGGAATATTTTGGGTGAGGCTTGAATGGAATTGTCTCAACTTACCTTGAATCTATTTGAACCAATTGGCGGTGTTGCATATGGAATTTCTTGGAAAGCGTAGTAGTCGTTTCCTAGGAAACTTTTCAGGGTATGTCCGCGAATTTTGCCATGCTTCTCCCATAGTTGTAGAACCAAATCATCCTGTCACAAAAATATCGACTTTAATTAGATTTTTGTCTTCATCGGCAGAAAAATGGAGGTCTGTAGGTTAATCGTGAAGGTGGAATATTCAATTCCTGGATTTTTGTGATTTTCACTTCTCGTACCAACAAATAATAGCTATCTATATATCAAGGGGGCAAAGGTATCCATTTCCTCCCGAAGGAAGATTTCATCGGGTTATCGTTATAGTTATTTCCTCCTACCCCTATAGAAAGTACACACTTTCCTCCCTCAAATCAGGGAGGAAAGTCATACTTTTCCTCCCTAGGGAGGAAAAGTACTTTTCCTCCCCCTCATTTCAAGTAAGTTGTAAACGATGAAACTTTTGAATTCATTATATTCATATTGTTTCCATAATTTCTAGAACATCCTGTATATCCTGTTTTTTGGTAAAAATCAAACATTAATGTTACTTCAACGTAGTTCTTCAATACAAATTTCAACTTCAGGAATCTTAGATATACGTTTTTTGAGTTCAGAATAAGAAAAGCATAGTATGCTGTGGCTCACTGACAGTAAACACGGCGATTGACTTTTAAGGTGCAAAGTCGCTACATTCATTAAACTTAGTTGAATTTTTGAAAAATGGAGAGCGATTCAAGTGATTTTGAATTTCCTAATACACCACCTAATATTAAGGAACAAGCCACCATAGCGGCATTAATCTTACTACCACAAAAATCTGAAGACAGGTATGAAAAACAATATGCACAAAATAAGCAATGGGCTGAAGACAACAAGATACATAAATATTCAGAGAATGTTTTACTGGCATATTTTGATAAATATATTGATAAATCTGTTTAATGAACAATTCTTGTGTATTTGTGCCGTAAATAAATTTTCAAAAAAAGGTGGGTAGGAGGAAATATCATATGTATCACATGGGAGTAAAGTGCCTTTTCCTCCCTTGGAGGAAAAGTGGCACTTTCCTCCCTCGTAATACAAATAGCTATTTTATTACAATAAATCACGTCTAACCTAAAATGTAAAATTTCAAGCAATAAATAATATTCTACTAATGACAACTCTGTTCAGTTAAGATTGTAGGTAATAAAACGGGTCGAACAATTATTGAACAGGGTGATATTCTGAAAACTTCTCACCCACAATATCTTCCTTCCATCAGTAAATAATATGGAAAATCGAGAAGACAGGTGTTATATATTTTATCCAATAATGTATCAATAAGATGATCGATGATTTATTACTGACACCGTTGTTTGTCATACATGACATGTCCCACGTTCATCAATATATACATACAGGAAGATACATAACACTCTCCCCTTCCTTATAATATATCAAACATAATAATTTAAATGATCACCATCCTAAACGTCCTGGTGCTTTCCGAATACGATTCGATCTTCTTAAAACGGGAGATCTCTTGGCCGCTTCTGTAATTTCAGGTATCAATTCCCTATCAGTTGTAGATGGTTTTGACACCGGCGATTCCGTAGACATAAGTGTCGTTCTTGATGATAATATTCTTTCTGGAGATGATATTCTTCTTCAAGATGATGAAGTTCTTATGTCAGTTGAACTGCGGGGATAGGCTGAACTAGATGATTCTTCTACAGGAGCGGATTGTTGATCTTCTCCAACTTCAGAAGTAGACGATTGATCCTGTGAACGTTCATCAAGAACTTCTCTTCCATATTGTCGGCAGGACGATCGTCGATGATTGATATGACTCAATGGATAATCAGATATCGCTAATTGGTTTTGTACCACATTTGATGTATTTGAAGGAGATGATACATTTTCTTGTTGTTTATACACTTGACATCTTCTCAATTGATTATAATGCCGTTTGATGATGAATCCACCATCCAATTCAATCATATAATGAAGCTTCCCTAATCGCTCAACAACAGTTCCGTAATTCCATAGTTTAGACCCGTGCTTGGACTCTTTTCCCAACTTGGAAGGTTTTATCAAATTGAGGTTGTTGATAACATTGCGTTTTTTCTGAATTCGGACGGATCAAATCCAATTTTGTTCTCAAATTCCTCCCAAATAATATTTCTGATGGTGTCTTCCCACATGATAATGGTGTAACTCTACAACGTAATAGAAATGCATGTAACTTTTCATGCAAAGTTCCTGGTTCATGTATCATACATCTTAATTTTGCTTTCAGAGTTTGACAATAACGTTCAGATTGTCCATTTGTTGCGGGATGACCTGGGGCAATTGTTCTTCGCAAGATTCCATGACGTGAACAAAACTATTAGAATTCTGTCGATTTGAAAATCGATGCATTATCGCTCACTAATATTTCTAGCAAACCATGGCAACTAAATATTTCCCGTAGATACAATATGGTACTTGCAGAGGATGGAGCTTGTTTCGCCATCAATATCTCTGGCATATTCATCAATATATACATACAGGAAGATACATAACAACAGGTCAATCTTATTTTCAAGGGGGACACTCAAAATTAATATTTTTAGCCGTTTTTGTTCAACCCCCTAGGAGGAGTAGATGCTACCCTTAGAATCTCAAATGGGAAGAGGGGTCAAGTGGCACATCATTTTGAAGGGCCTCCAATTCTCTCCTTTCAGTTCAAAATCTTCCTACCATACGGAGTGAAACTAGAGTCAATACTATGATACTAACCTGAAAACCATGCATCTCACAGTGCAGGCATGTTCTTATTGTTTTTTATCGCTTGGAGCGCACGAAAGGAAATCCCTATAATGTTCAAAGAACATCGTGCGTTCCTAGGGAGGATAGGGACAGGAGGTAGGTATTGGAATTTTTTTGAACTTCTGGAGATTATATGTTGTTGGAAATAATTCCTCAGGCAATGAATTCCAGAGTCTAGCCGTTCTATGGATGAAGGAATTTTGATAAAATGCTGTTCGACATCTTTCGAAGTTGACAACGAAAGGATGTGCTGACTGGGCTTGTCTAGTTCGTCTGACTGGTATTGCTAGTGAAGGGATGATAGCAGAGATTTCCGAAGAACATTTCCTGTGGAAGTATCGATAGAAAAGTGAAAGGTCGCCGACCTTTCTACGGTGTTCCAATGATGTCAAAGAGTGAGTGAGTGTGGCGTCACCCACCAGGCGAATGGCTCTTCTCTGGATGGAATCTAAGAGCATCGGCGTATGTTTTGTTGCTGAACCCCATATGTGGGAACAGTATTCTAGAACAGGCCGTATCTGCGCTTTGTAGATCATGAGAAGCTGTTGGGGTGTGAAGTAGTTTTTCGCACGGAACAAGAATTCGAGTTTTTGCGAAGCAGCTTTTGCGATGGATCTGACATGATTATCCCATGAAAGAGTGTTGCTGATAGAAATACCGAGCATAGATATGGTGGGCTTGGTGGGGATGGTGGTGCCAGACATTACAATATCGGGCATACTGAGTTCCGCCTTTCTAGAGAAAATACAGGCTTGAGTTTCGGTGGCGTTGAATTAAACTAGGTTGTTGGTTCCCCAGGCTGTGATTTCAGCAAGGTCTTCATTGACAGCATTGACCTGCCTGCGCCGTGAGTTCTTAGTTTCCTGGGAAGATGGGAATTCTGGAAGAGAACGCAGTATGGAGGGTACTATCATCTGCAAAGCTGTGGATGGGGCAAGTTGTTACTCCCAACAGATCATTGATATGAAGAAGGAATAATGTTGGTGCTAAAATTGATCCTTGTGGAACGCCGGAATTGATGCCAATGGTATCAGACGATACACCGTCCACCACCACGTGAAGCGATCTGCCTGCAAGAAAACTCGATAAGAGATGGCATACCTGAGGTGGTAAGCCGTATGATGGTAGTTTGTGGAGGAGTCCTTCGTGCCAAACACGGTCGAATGCTTTCGATATGTCCAACGTGACAGCTAGAGATTCTCCGTGTTTTTCTAATGAAGCTTGCCATACATGGGTGACGTAGGCAAGTAGATCTCCAGTAGATCTTCGGTGGCGAAAGCCGTATTGTCTATCATTGATGATTCCTGAGCTCTCCAGATATTTGATAAGCTGAATATTGATGGCTTTCTTCATTACTTTGGAGATTACTGATAACAGGACAATGGGCCTGTAGTTGTTGGGCAGGTTCTTGTTCCCTTTTTTGGGGATTGGTTGGACTCTAGCTGTCTTCCAGCATGATGGAAAAATACCCGACCTGTACGAGATGGTAAACAACTTGCAGAGAATCGGTGTTAATTCAGAACGACATTTTTCGGGAACTGCTCATCAAAAAATGATAATTTAGGGTACTTTTGAGAAGATTACTGAAAGCCCTTCGAAATAATATGCATCTTGACCCACCTTTTTATATGAGGTTCCAAGGGTATCATCTACCCCTCCTAGAGGGTTGAACCAGGAGGGCAAAAAATATCTTAAGTGTCTTCCTTGAAAATTTATTTGACGTGTCTTTTTCATTCTTCATATTATTCACTGGAAGAAAGATATTAAGGATGGAAAGTTTCCTAATTGACACGGCATTTTTCGGAAACAGCTCAAGAGAAAATGATAAACTACGGTACCGTAATACCGTTGGAAAGACAATTGAACGTCCTTCAAAATGATGTGCCATTTGCCGCCCCTTTCCATTTCAGATTCTGAGGATAATATCTACCCCTCTGAGGGGGTTGAAACTAATTATTTCAAGTGCCCCACTTGATAATAAAATCGACCGGTCTTCTAGATTTTTCTAAATTTTCATATGAAAACTTCTAGAATAAAACATCGTTTCTCAGTTATTCGATATGTAATTGATATTTAAATTGTAAATGGAAATTTGGAATGATATTGAATTTGAATTTCACGTTATTTCTATTGCTATTACATGCTAAAGCCGTAGAAAAAGTATTGTATATAACCCATTCGGAATGCTTATTCGAAATGACTATCATTCCGTCCTCGTTCAACAATACCTATACTGAATTCATTCTGTGCAAAATCATAATTTTTCAACATGATTCGATATATTTGAATATACAGGGTGTTTCATATTATATGCGCAGGACTTCAGGATGTGATAGCTCTTCCAAAAATATGAAAGATATTTATTTGAGCTATTTTCTAAAATGCACTATTTTCGAGACACAGGGTGTGAAAATTCTAAAAAAAAATCGTTTTTTGCGAATATCTATGAAATAGTGGTGCCCGCGAGAGTCTCGTTTTCGAGAGTCTCGCATGGTCTCGTCTCGTTTTCGAGACAAGACTCGAGACGAGACTCGAGACGAGACTCGGACAAGACGAGACGAGACTTTCATTGGTCTCGTCTCGAGTCTCGTGCAAGACTTCTCGTGTCTCGTGCGAGAGTCTCGCATGTAAATATTTCTGCGTGCCGACTGCAGACTTGAAAATTTCATTCATAATAAAACATATTCAGGAAAAATTCTATAAGAAAACATCAGAATCGCCTTAATAATGAATCTGCACGATGTTTGTTATGTCTTAACGACTGGGTGGAAAACAAAAACATTTGCGATTGTGAAGGCTGATCTGACTGATAAAGGTTTTTTTCTCCAAGCGGCAGGAATAGTGGCTTTTTCCTGCCGCTTAACAGGCAGAAAAGGTGTAATTTTACTGCCTAGGCAAAAAAAGTTTATTGCTATGCAACGTTCCAAGAAATTCTAGAGTTTTCAATAAAAAATCACACAAAATTGTCTTTATATCATTTGGAGGAAAAATTCTATGTTTCACACGACAGAAAATGTAGATTGACTTCTTTTCTGCCTAGTAAAACAAATAACTATATTTTTAGATACCTATTTCTCAAATAAGTAAAATAATGTTGGATTAAAGTTTTTGTTTTGTTTATTTGTTTAGAATATACGTGTTACTTTTTATTTCATTTTTATAACTTTCGAATATATAATGCTATGTTTTTTTTCTTGTTTAGATGTATGATGTAAGTATGTACCTATTAGATACTTACTTTTCCATAAACAATGTTATTTTTGTTGTAATTTTCTCTTTCTACTTCTACATTATACCTAGAAAGTAGGCAAAGGTAAATATCCCGTACTAGACTGGAACAAGATTATGCATGACGAAATTGCGATACTTTTGCGAGACTCTCGTACGAGACGCGAGACAAGACGAGACTCGGGGCTGCGAGACGAGACTCGAGACAAGACTTCATATTTCATCGGCGAGACGAGACGAGACTTTATAAAAGTCTCGTCTCGTTGGTCTCGTGTGAATCACTACTATGAAATCGTTTATCGCACAGAAAACAGCTCTCGTATAAGCATTGGCCACTCATAATAAGCTATGTTTCTTGCGGCATTCATTTTTTTAAAGTCATAATTGCTGAAGATTTTGAAAGGGTAGGGGGTGTTTATCTCCCCAACTTCTGCGCCACTAGGAAAAGTACTGTTTTGAGCGACTCATTGGAACTGCAAATATTTTCTACACAAAAAAGGTACTCTTGGTCATGAGCTCTAAATGTGATCGTTTTCGACAAAAATCGAATTTTATGTCGACAAAATTGGTCAAATTTTTGCAATAAATTTTATTTCACTACTTAATTAAACTGATTTATTCAAATATCAGAATAAGTAACAAATTCAAACGTTAACTTCATAATTGCAAAACTGAAAAAAAAAACAATAACAAACCATACTCCAACAAACTAAAATATTTCAAAAAATTACCGAAATTTCCCTAGTTTTTTAACATAAAAGTTGATTTTTCTAAAAAACTATCAACTTTTGGACTTATGATCAAGAGCACTTTTTCGTGAAGAAAACGTTGATAGTTCAAATTGGCGGCTCAGAACTGTATTTTTTCCAGGGATGTAGAAGTTTGAGAAAAAAAACACCCACTCCCCCTTCAAAATCTTCACCAATTATCACTTCAAAAGAAATAAATTGCGCATAAAACCGAGCATAAAACATAGCTTATTATCAGTAGTAAATGTTAACGAAGCTGTTTTCTGTGCGATGAACGGTTCCACAAAAAAACCATTCTTTTTTCAAATTTCAACACTGTTTATCTCGAAAATGGAGCCTTTCAGAGGGTAAGTTACTGGAATTTTGTTGTCATATTTTTGAACGAGCTATCACATCATGAAGTCCTTCGCATATATTATGAAACGCCCTGTATCCTTCCGTTGAAAGTTCACATAAAATATTTAAATCTTAAACACACCGTATTGCAATTAATAAATAATAAACTCACGTCAGCGTTGGACAGTCCCACAGAAGCAGCGATTAGTAAAAATACATTGATGTTCATCGTGAGACCACAACTGAGCTGGACACAGGAGACGAAATGGTGTCCTAAAAAAATCAAGTCAATATATTCAAAAAATCTGCGATACCATTGGTCGAAAAAAGTGCACTCGATAACCATTTATTCAAAGCAGGTGAATACTCGTATTCTTCATGTGAATTACACGGTGGGCCAAAAAAAATTAGTTTGAACTCTCATCGAGGGTACAGTTCCCAATGGGCACACGTACGTTTTGTAAACGTTTAATCAACGTGAATCAGGTTGAATAGACGTTTATGGTTGAGGAATTCAACGTTTATATATGGTTGTAGAAAATAACGTTGAAACTAAACGTTTAATACACGTATTGAAAACGATATGTCCTAACGATCCATGAAATTCGTACATTTATAAAAAGTTTTCCCAAAACGTTAGACAAACTCTTGAGATTAACGTTTCTTCAACGCGAATCCTCCATCATTTTCTAACTGATAGTGGGGAAAAAACGTGAATAAAACGTTATTTAACTTTATTTTCCAGCCTTCATTTGACAACGTTTATTATACCTTGTTGTTGAACTATTTTTCAACTCATAGTTGAACTGCTAGCAGTTATATAACGTTTATTCGAAACGTTTGTTAAACCCTTGGAATGATCGTTTTTTCAACGCCATTCTTTCAACAAAAATCAACTGCTGGTCAAGAAATCAACGTGTTGAAAATGTTTTTCAACAACGATTCTCCACCGTTATTTGCCAACGTGTAATAAATGTTGTTTTCAAACTATTTTTTACATTTTGGTAAAAGTGCTCACGATTATGTAACGTTTTTTGATAACGTTCAATGAACTCTTAACTCTGACGTTTTCCCAACGTGAATCTTTTACCATCATTCAACAGTCAGTAACAGAAACAACGTGATGAATACGCTTTTCAATGTAATGTAACTTATTGGTATTCATTTATAATGTGGCACTATGCCACATTGAATATTGTGACCAAAGAGTAGACGCCTTTCCTAGTACCTCAAAGTATTTCAAAAAAGTACACTTTCCGAAAAAGATTTTATTTCTTTATTCATACTTTTTTCTTGAAATTTCCGGAAACAAATCCAACTTTCGCAGCTTTTCCCATTATCTCTGTGTCTGGCGGTGTATTTATCAAAATCGTCACATCTCGGTATATACATCATCCGGTATCACGGTATATACATCATATTATTTATTATGAATTGTTGGAACAATATTTGATGGAAAATGCGATTTCTATCAAAAGCACTAATGAGAACTACCCTAAAGAATTTGAAAAACTTCTTCTGACAGTTGTGACAACTATTCAAAGCTGAATAGCAGCCAAGTTTTGGTCGATTTTTGTTGATTCTCCATGGAAATGTATGTGGTGTTGGCAAAGTGCCGTGAGAATAGTTATTTGTTTAACTAGGCAGCAAAGTAGTAGATTGACTGCCGTGGCTGAATTCATAGCCGAGCGTAGCGAGGCTAGGAATCCAGCTAAGGCAGTCAATCTACTTTGCTGCCGAGTCAATCAATCAATCAATCAATCAATTTATTTACCACAAAAATTCAATTAAACAGATACAAAATTTCTCGATACATTGGTAAATAAATAACAAACGTCCAAAAAAAGGTTGCCCTTGAACATGGACGTATAGTGTTAGCGTGAAAATTAATAATAAAATTACAAATAGGTATATATATAAATATAGAGTAGAGATAAAACAAATAGTAGAACTAACTAATATTAATATCATCGTTGAACATATAATTTTTTCTCCGATTGTTCATAATGATATGGGAGAATATTGTATTTGCGAATTAATACAATTCCCACAATCTCTTTATTCTTCCTGTATAGTGTTCAATTAAAATAAAATTTGATAGAAATCGCAGTTGTTGGTTTGACAATTCATGTAATTTCTGACAGTTGTGCGAAAAAATATCGGTATATTTGAATTATTATATAATACAGTGATAGCGACCTGGACGTATACTTACACCTCCATTAATAAGGGAGGTGGCAAAAAATATAGAGTTGAATTTGTTGCCGGAGAAGTCTCGGATGAAATATGAAGGAAATTATAAACGATTTATGGATTATTAATTTTGCTGATACATATCAATCAGCAAAGTAACCATTTTGCTGCCTAGGCAGCAAAGTAAGGAGAAGTGATACTTTGCTGATTGATATGTGTCAGCAAAATTGATATTTGCTGCCAATCGGAGGAAAAAAATATTTCTCACAGTATGGGCAATACATGGTTTTGATACTAAATAAGCTATGAGAAATGCGCTACTTTTCATAGCAGTAGTAGAGAAAAGTTCTTCCCATATGATGCCAACTTTATGAATGACACTGTAGACCCAGAGATGAGTGGCAAAAAAATCCAAAAATCCAAACTGAATGCTCAAATTTCGATATAATGTAGTATTTATGGTGTATAGCAATAGCCTGTTGTCAGTCAGTCAGTTTCGTTAGCGATAAGCCATAATTAGCGCATGGGTGGCTTCAAAGTTGTTAAAAAAACAGTTTTCTAAAATCTGTACATTGGTTTCTGAATAGTGAATTAGCTTAAAATGATGTGTACACTCGTGTTAGTCGTGTTTACACCATCATAGTCTACAAAATATCTAACAAGACACTTCAGCAGCGCGTTAAAGCCATAAAAAAGAATTGTTGATGGTGAAACTGTTTTCTGAAATGTTGAATTTGGAATACAATTTCTTAATAATACAAAAAAGATGTTTACGATACGAATATAGTACAATATTTTACCTATTACGAAAAAGCTAATTATTTATTAAAAAATATTCAATATTCCTTGAACTGACGATTCATTAGGAATATGTAACAAGCGTTGCAAGGAATGGGCGTATGGTTGTTGTGAATCTATTGTGTTCTCGGTTGTCACTCATTCGGCGAACTGTCAACTTTGACGCGGTAATTTGAATTCGAAAAAATATTCATCGGCATGAATTCGGATCAGGAAAAATTGCAACGAATGCAGCAATCGAAACTTAACGCCCAAGTCGAATTTCAAAATAAATTAGTATTAAAAGTTTTTCCCATATGATGCCAACTTTATGAATGACACTGTAGATCGAGAGGTGAGTGGAAAAAAAATGCAAGAGTTTTCTGAAGGCTCAGATTTCGATATTATGTAGTATTTATGGTGTATAGCAATTAGCAATAGCCTGTTGTCAGTCAGCCAGTTTCGTTAGCGATTAGCCATGATAAGCGCATGGGTGGCTTCAAAGTAGTTAAAAAACCAGTTTTCTAAAATCTGCAATTTGCTAAAAAATTATGTGTACACCATAGTCTACAAAATATCGTAAAGTCAGCAGCGCGGTAAAGTCATAAAAAAAGTATTGTTGATGGTGAAACTGCTTTCTAAAATGTTGAATTTGGTATTGAAGTTCTCATAATAATACGAAAAATAAATAAAAATAGTCAGCCCGGATGTGTATTTAACATACGCCGTCATTCGAATCATTTACATAGCACGCTCATCGGTGCAGGCTTTAATTTAATTTGAAATGAATGTTTATAAGAAAAATAGGATGATAATGTATTGATAGTTATTTTTGTATCTAGAGCGCGAAATGATACTTTTGTTATCGAGATCTGATTTTTTTAAAATAATCGAGATGACCAAAGTATTTCGCGTTCGAGTTGCAAACAACATTTTTTCTACAAACGTCAAAAAATATAGTTTCAAACTAAAAATATGCTTAGCTTGATATAAAAAATCCTATCCTCCGTAGGTACGCACGATGTTCCACAAACATAATAGGAATTTCCTTTCGTGCGCTCCAAGAGATAAAACAAAGTTATTGTTGAACATTCAGAATTGAATGATTTCATGGATGTTCGCTCGTTAGAGGTCTATAAAGTTGAAATATGAATATCTCATATATTTCACATAACAATGCGCGAAGTAGGTACTTCGCGCACTGTTTCACTTCGCGCATTGTTTTGTGCAAGGTATCATGGTAACGTAGGAAACTGAAAAAAGTGTCACTTCGCAGTTTGTTATCAATGCGCGAACCTTGGCATTTTTTGACGTTTGTAGAAAAAAATATTGTTTTCATTAAATAAGTATTGAAAATATTTCTTTATTATGCAAGGGCAAAAAGTGATGCTAGCACAAGGTTGTGTTGAGGTTGTTGAGAAAAAAAAACGTGAGCTAAAATCTAATCGTTTTTCCGTATGTAATAAGTACACTATTTTTTTCTGTGACAGAAAAAAGGACGAATCAATTTGAGAAGATATTAAATTATGATAATATCAGAAAATTATCGGCGTGAAATTTGAAAGTTTTTAACAGAAATTACATCTGTGTCGCAGACATCTCGTTGCAGGCATCTTTATCATTCTTTCGAGTGATTTGATTTTGGAAAATTGCGAATTAAGTGGTTGTTCAGTAATTCACGTAACCGGGAAGTCAAATGGAAGTAAAAAGTTGCGTTTTATTTTTTCCATTCTGGTAGCGTTGGTGGGAACAGAATGACGTTTACAAATAAAACGAGAAACTTCATGATCTTGCGATATTACAGATGGTAAAGGTTATATCCATATATTGGGGATCTAATACTAGAGTTGAGAATTAAGAAAATTAAAAGTTGCAAATAAAACGACATATTAAAGTGATTCCGGTGGCGGAATCGGATAAATAAAACGCAACTAGAAGGACTTGCAGTTCTTTCTCGGAGACGGTGTTATAATGGCTTATTTTTCGGAAATAGCACAACAAAATCCATCAACAGTGTATAATATATCCGGGAAAAAAGTTCTCACTTTTTTCCAATGGGAAAAAGTAATTGATGAGAAGTAACATTTTATAATCTGTCAACTGACATAAAATGTCAAACTTTTTTCCTGTCACAGAAAATAGTTATTTTCCTAACAAATTTGGAGTGATTCTTTTCCGCACGCGACTGCCGTTGACACGAACGACGCGAATCGGAGTTCGGGCGGGCAAGCAGTCGAGTGCGGGAAAGACACTTTCCGCATGAGTTAGGAACAATATTTTTTCTACAAGCGTAGGAAATTGAT